GTAGCTTTAAAAAGACGTTTGCTTAAATGTAAATATATTATATTTTGAGAACATGGTGTTGATTAAATGACAGCTTGGTCAAAATGTTCTTAATCAAATTGTCTTATTTTTAAGAATAATAAAAAACATATAGGTGGTTTACATACGTCATAAAGTCTTTCCTTACTAACTTCGGACTCCTAACCTGAATTGCTGGCAGAGGGGCTAACGGCTAACGCTGGCTCGCTAGGCCGATCTCAGGTCCGGTAACGTTTGCCTATGACGTACTCCATCAAACATCCGGCTAATTTAATAGTTTCAGGGTATGGCTAGGAAGTACAACAAGTATTACCATACTTTTAAAAATTGTACTTAATCGATTGTTAATACTCTTGAATTCGGCTTTGCTTATATTAATTAAGGAAGTAGTATTTCTATAAAATATCAACTTTTGTTGCCTTCAGGTTCGCACAATGTGATACTTCTTACCTAAGCTATCGAGAACTTGAACATACCCTGACTTTTTAAATTATAGTTTTAAATAAAGTTTAAGCGCTATCACATGTACTCCGAATTTAGCAATAGATGTAACTTATCATTTTGAACGAATTGTTGGTCTTAAACGGCAGTCATGTGACACGTATAGAGGATGTCGTTTAAATGCGTGTTACTTTCACAGAGTTTCGCCACACGCTCTCACAAATCAACTGAACAGCACGCATCAGGGCAAGGCCCGCCTGTGTGAAACAAAGGCACAGCGAAGGTGATATGAAGCTGCTGCCGCTGTTGATCCAAACTTACCCGGTCGGGAGAAACCAACGCGGTTTGAATCGTTTCGTTAGGAATTCATATCTGCTTCTAGCAAGCCGGCCAACTTCCGACAAAACCCCGGGAACAGAGTCCGGGTTTAGAGCCCCAAATTAGACAGAAAGAGCCTCACAGTTTACAGGAAAACACTACTGTTAACACCAAGGTCACTTCCGCTCTAGACCCTTCAAAATAAGACTGACAGGTAACGTAACGATCGGTTTATACTGTATATATATATATATATACATATATATATATATACATATATATATACATACATATATATATATATATATACATATATAAATAAATATATATACAGACCAAAATATATACGTCTGTATATATCCAATGTATTATTCGAGTAAACAGTACCTTTCTTTTACCTCATATTTCACAAAACTGACTTCGTATTTGTATTAATTGACTTCATTATTCTGACAACAACGTATGTTGTGGCGTTTAGTCTTTTATCAGTCAATACATCAAAGGTCATGAAAAATTTACTTCCTGCGGAAAAACGTCCAATAGGTGGCAGAAATTCCCTATATGGATACAGACTGGGGTAAAAATGTAACAATGTTTTCACAGATCGACATGTCAGTGGCAGAGAAAATATAAAGTAGCATGTGATACTCATTGAGGTAATTTCCAAAAAGAAAAAACACTTAAAAGCTATGACAGTATAGCATTGATAGTAGAATAGGATAGATAGTAGTACAGGACTCAAAAACAAGGATTTAAAAAAAGTCACAATACAAAGGGTGCAAAAATATTTATTGCTAATAAACCTGTAGTCAGTCGGTGTATATTTGCTTTATATTTACAATCATAGAGTACAGAGGAATGGGAATGTGAAAGAAAAAAAATCCCAACCGTTTCAAATAAATACAAGGTGACAGTGGCTGGACCAGAGAATGAACAAACAGACTGACGGAGGCTCTGATGAAGACCAGTGGAGGTGGAGAAACAAGGCATCATATACATTTGTTATTTAAATTATATGCGTAACAGTGACAGGGCTTCCTTGGATAATGCTTTTCTGACTGCACAGAAAAATGCTTTAGCCTTCAACCAGAACACCAGAGGCATTTCACAATAGAACCAGAACAGACTGTACCCTGGAGTTTGACTGTTAGAATTTCAGAGAGGTCATGTAACAGAAATGTACTTAAACTGAAAAATAAAGTAACAATGTCTCACTGCCAAGAAGGATCCAATCTTTGACTTAAAGCGCCCCCTGGTGAATCCTTTTTTATTTTATAAGACAGTCCAGAGCGGTCAAAGGTCAGATTATTAAAATTAGAAAATCTGAAAATTTCCTCCATAGGTTTGAACAAAATAAATGTTATGTAGGAATCACAATTGACCCCAGTCTTTTAAACTTGAGTCTCATTCCCTCATTGATGTCTCTTCATCATGACCGACGTCAGAAAGTTAAGATTTGAGCCTCTAGTCCAGCCACAGCCTACAGAGTTAAAACAGTAGCTTTTACACAAACTCATAGTTTTTTAGTGTAACGCATGAAAAGATGCTCATTTTTAAAAAACAGTATTTACAGTAACAGTAAGACATGGCAGCAAAAAAGAAACTAACAAAAAAAGTCACAGTTAACTGCTGAAGTGCATGGAATGCAAAAAAAAAAAAAAAAAACTACACATGAAATTCAAACTTCATACCATAATATAGGATCTGTGTTTGTGACCAGTGTGTCGTGTTACTACGTTAATTTATTTTATTACTCAGCTAAAATATAGTGAGGCTTCTCAACATGCAGCAGCAGCAACAGCAGCAGCAGCGGCGGCGGCGGAGGCAGCAACAGCAGCCGGGGCAACAGTCACATGCACGTGATGCTTGAATGTCAGAACTCCTTGGCATCTTTGTTTTCAAAGAGGTGAAGCCTCTGCTCGGCAGTCAGACCTTCCTTTAGACTCTGTTGAGTGAAGAGAAGAAGACGTTGGTGCTGGAAAAACAAAGATGACTTTTTACTGACTCAACTTTAAAAGAAAAAAAAACCAAATCCCTTTGAAAGAGCGCCCCCCAGTGTTACCACACGCCTGTACCCCCACCTAATATTTCAGTCTCAGTTACAGCAACCTATGAAGTCAAAGTTTGTTGAATGAGTCAAAAGAAAATGGTGTCTGTACCAGGACTGTTGTAGCTAACGTTAGCTCTGGTTTCTGTACCAGGACTGTTGTAGCTAATGTTAGCTCTGGTGTCTGTACCACGACTGTTGTAGCTAACGTTAGCTCTGGTGTCTGTACAAGAACTGTTGTAGCTAATGTTAGCTCTGGTGTCCGTACCACGACTGTTGTAGCTAACGTTAGCTCTGGTGTCTCTACAAGAACTGTTGTAGCTAATGTTAGCTCTGGTGTCTGTACCACGACTGTTGTAGCTAACGTTAGCTCTGGTGTCTCTACAAGAACTGTTGTAGCTAATGTTAGCTCTGGTGTCTGTACCAGGACTGTTGTAGCTAATGTTAGCTAAAATGGCAACATGTTTTATATTGCGTTGATAAGGTAGATTTCAAGGGCTGTGATAAGAAAACTAGACACTCTTCTTTAATCATTAGGACATTGTAAAGAGAATACATACATTTTGACATCAGTGTTAAATGGTGTGCCAGAAATGATGGGACCCAGGAAGGTGCAATTAGATGAACTGTTAGTGATTAATAAAGGAAATGAACATGTTAAAGTGTCTTGATGTTAAACCTTTTTATTGTAGACCTGAGGTCCAATCAGAAAATGAGTTGTGCAACATTTTAGTGGTTTTGGCTCTAACTACTTGAATTTTATCCTGATTACAAATCAATGATGAAACCACAGACTTTAGTTTTTTTTATTTGGAGGAGGACTGACATTTTTGGGTTTTGCATTCTTCCTGACCATTCTTCCTAGACACCAGGAAAACTCAACAAAGATTTGGTTTCTTGATCACCCTGTTCATTTCATTTGACTCATCGGACAAGTCTTTTCAAAACACACCCATTAGTTGTTATTATTATTATTATTATTTTAATGGAATGTCCAGTGACACACAGGCTCAGTGCCACCGCTTCCTCACCAACGTGCACAGTTTAGGATGTGTTAGTCACCGGTTGTGCACGTATGCCGTTACCTACACGGGCAGAAGAGGCAGGTCTACAGGTCTTCAGCATCACTAACTGTCCTACGGATCGTCGTGGCTCTCAGACTGAGGATACAAGTGTTTGTGTGTCAAGAACTAGCAGCATCACAATGAACCTTGTAACCATAGCGAGAAGATAGTGTATGACAGTACTGAAACGTTTCGACCTAAAATACTCCTGTAGAATGTAGTAGTCACCAAATCAGGTCAATTTGTGAAAAACTGTTCCTGCAACTAAAACACCGTGTGTGACTGTTGCACTGTTACAACACAGCTGTACTGGTTCAGTCCCAACATGTAAAAACTGGTTTGAATGCAGAAAAAGAAAAAAGGTTCTTGTCGTTTTACAGATGGCCACTAGATGGCAGCAAGTCACTTTGAAATCTGCTTCTACAAACTTCACAGAGTGGGACCAAAATCACTTGAGAGAAAAAAAAAAGAAGTTACCTTTGACCTCAGGGTTCGCTCTGAGCGTTTGGCTGCTGCAGCTGCCATCTTCAGGATGTCAGGGTTGCTCTTGGACTTCATGATGTCTATGAGACAACGGAAGGAACATGTGTCTGAGCCCAAACATTCAACTGAAAAAAAAAAACTAAAGACCAAACAAACTCAAACACACCATATCCTCCCCGCTCCATCTCCTCCAGCGTGGGCTCCCCCAGCGCCTCCTGTGCCAGCTGCAGCTGATCTCTGAGTCGGCCCACGTCCCGGTCTGCTTTGGCCCTGACGATGCTCAGCTCCGTGTAGATGTCCTTGTACTTGTCTGTCGCATACTTCTTATCCTGGGGAAAAAACCAAGGAGTCGTCATCGTCAGGTTGTCCAGATACAGGAGCCTTTTAACGAAAGAACTGGTCCAGGACCAGGGGTTCTCCTCTGGGGTCCGTTTCTAAACTTACTCTTTGAGCAGCTTGGAGTTCATCCTTCAAGGAATTGATTTCCTGTTTCAGATACTGGACCTCGGACTCCTTCACCCTCAGCATTACCTATAATACAAGACCAGGTCAAGCTATAACAAACACATCTGACTGTAAGACAAATTATCATCATTATAAAATCATGACTTTAATCAAGGAAGAAAGTGACTTCTTAAATCAACAAAGTTCCAGTCCAGTTTTGGTCTTCATGATTTTAGGTCAGCGCTGTCAAACTCAAATTCACAGTGGGCCAAAATTAAAAACAGGGACCAAGTCATGGGCCAAACTTAGTATTTATTGAAAAATTGAGGGCAACTGTGCCTGTTTCCCCTTCTCTCCATATATGTAATGTAGAATTTTCTCATATGGAAACAAACTTTAGTTTTGCATTAACATTAAATCTGGACCAACCAAAGTTAATATTATAAACACGTGAGAAATTAACGTAAAAATAAAACACATTCTTTATCTGTAGCCTTTCAAGTTCCTGTTTAACGTATATATTTTTTTTTTTTTCGAAGACCAACAACAACAAAAACTAAATGTATGTGCTATAGCTATAACAGTGCATACAGCACTAATACTACAAATCCTGCCAGGTTGTAGGGGCTATATACTGGCCGGCCAACTCTAGTACACATTTGATATGATCTTGCAGGCCAAATATAATTACACTGCAGGCCAGATTTGGACCGCAGGCCTGACTTTGACACGTGTGTTCTAAGTCATGGAAAAATCCAGCCTGAGGCATCAGTTCAGGGTCACAAGTTCTGGAGTCAAGAGCCACAACACAAGTTGCTCATCAAATACTCCTAAAATACCCTGGAATCATTTATAAAGAGAAAACAAGAGTTCTATGTCCGTTGAGAACACATTTGGTTTTAACCTCATACATGACTCAGTCCTTTATCAAATAGTTTCCCTAAAACCTTCAAGGTTTCCAGGGAAAGCCACAGGGCAAAAACTCCCCCATAGCAGTCGAGGGGCAGAACTTCGACCTCACCTCTAACTCGTAGAGTTCTTTCCCTTGTATTGTGACGGAGTCTGAGCCGTCCTCTGATGTCATGGATCGCATTTTGGTGATTTCTGCTGCCAGACGGTTGTTCAGCTCCTGTAGAAGCCACGAGTTAGAATCAGTGCCTTGTCATACGATCACATCCTGTCACGTCATAATTAAATGACTAATGTGACCATATTTCCAGACTGAAGTGTGGTGTACCTGGTTGTGTGCGTTGAGCTCCTGGTTCTCCCTCTGACACTGCCGGAGGGCCTGCCTCTCAGCCTCCAAGGCCTGGGCCAGGTGGGCGTTCTCCAGGCACTTCTGTGAGTACTGCTCCGACAGAACCTCGATCTCCCGATGCAGTGAACACAGCTCCTCCCTGAAGGACAAGTTAAGTTTCCAAAAACCAGTGCAAGGTCAGCAGCAGATTTAAGAGGGGAAAACTGTGTGGGTTCAAAACGTGTTAGTGAACAGTGAAGAGAACTGACTCGTGCTGTCTCTGGATCTCGTCCAGGTCTGCGTTCTGAGTGTTGCAGTTGGCCTTGCGAGCCTTGTCAAGCTCCTTCTCCAGCTCTGTGCGATGGGCGTTCTTCATCGCTTCGATGGCTACGACACCAGACAGAAAGAGTTCAGCGTTACTCGTGTTATGTGAAGGTCATGCGGGTCAGGTGTTTCAGATCATTCTTGTGAGTGCTTTCACCAGCGATGGTGGCCGCCGTCTCCTCATCCAGCAGCCTATCCTTCTCTGCCTGCAGGTTGTCCAGCTCCCTCTGGTGTTTTCTCTGCAGCTCCTCAATCACCTTTTGATGGGATTCCTCCATGGCTGCAAAGCCTCTCTCACACGTGGCCTGAGACACAGAAGGACAGGACGGAGGTGTAAGCTTGAGGCTAATCTAAACAGGGGACCAAAAGGTTCTCCTGACCCTCTGGGTCCTACGGAGTGAACCAGGTGAGACCATTCATATATTCCACTTGCAAGCTACAGCCTGTTAGCCACGAGCCAGTCCAGCCTGTGTGAGTATTAAAAGGAAGGAGAGGAGAGGAGAACACTGAAGGAATGCGTAGGTGATGAGAGAGGAGGGTTTCAGAAAGTCTCTTCTGTCATTCTCTGACCACAGCATATCATCCACACTCCTAATGACACCATGACATCCTCGTTCCAGATTTAGAACATGATGCTGCAGCTGAGGTGTGAATCCTAATCTGCCTGTCGCTCCTACAGTTGGAAGAATGTCACGCTAATCTGCCAAACTGGGGCCGAGCCCCGTGAATACTGAAGTCACTATTTGTTTGGTGATGTAATTGTGTAAAAATGCTAGGAGAGAAAATGACCATATAAAGACTTATAAAGATTCCTGGTGCTTAAAAAAGGAACCTACACTAGTAATATGCCTGTGTTCCAGCAGATGGCGTACACTGTATAGAAGGTGTTCAAAGGTGTTGTGTCTTCTAAGACCTAGAACACTTTCGTCTTCTAAGGTTTCTGATAAAAATAAAAATGCGAGTGTCTGAAGCCCATATCCCCTCACTTGACCGCACACATTGTTGCGCTGCTTGGGACCCCGCTCCACAAGTTTAACCTTTTGTGTCAGCTGAATAATTATGACTTGCATTAGCAGCATTTAAACTAACCTGGACCAGGACCCAGGGTGATGCTCACTGTCGGTGGCTCCAGGTCTGACCACACGTTTTAACAACAGATTTAAACAGCCTTTCCAACTGTCTGGCTAATAACAGAGCTGCTTCTACTCTGAGATCAGGGTGGAAGGCTACTACCTCCCCTTCTCCCCCCGACCCCTTGGTCTCTTTAAGCTTAAGCCAAAGCAAGGAAATTAAGGTCTAGTGTGTTTTCACAGGGACAAAACCCCCCGGGAGCTGAGACCCAACTGTAAAAGGGTGGAAACTTTTCTCTCTGCTTTACACACACTTTCAAACATGCGTCCACACTCTCACACACTTGGACGGGAGGGGGAAATGTAAACTTCCTGCTCTGACATCACAACAGCTTTATTTAGCTGCATGTCAGACTATGAATCTGGTCACAGAGTCCAAGTTTTACACGACATCATTTGTCAACATTCCAGGCTGAACTGAAGACCTTTTTCCTCACAGATATCCAAATACAGACTCTAGCAGAGATTTAAATTAATTTATGTCAAAAACAATTGACACTACTGTTGGTCTCGGCCAATGTTAACCATCAAACATTGAATAAATCTCACTTAATTTGGCAATAATGTCAGTAAAAAGTCCCTTTATTATCCCTTTAATCACATTCTGTTTGTTCCAGTTTAGAGGGGGAACGTTTGAATTTATGCCAGTTAATAGGAACGGATGCCTGTGATTTTTGACTGCACTTCCTCTTTTTGACTGTGCTTAAATGATCCCCAGAGGAAGTGACGTCGTCAGTGAAATGTTGTGAGATCAACTTTGATGAGGAGAGAAAGTGTGGGTTACATTTGAACTGTTAATAGAAGGAGTCAAAGGAAAAAGGATCTGACCCTTTCTGAGTCACCAAAACTCTTAAATTTGAAAAACTTTAAATGTTGCCATCGTCAATAAAAGCTTTAATGATGAATGTAACCACGGGTCACCTCTTTGTCCTTTAACACAGAGTTAGAATAAGCAACATCAAACTACACACCAAGGAACTCATTTCAGAGGAGAGAAGGTCGAAGCACAAATGTGTGTGAAATTGATACTTTTGCTTCACTCGAATTATTTTCTATTTAGGTGATGCTGATGAAGCTCTGACAAAATGGGTTCCTTGGCTCAGAACTACTGCGGCGTCTGGAATGATCACATGAACCTAAAAGGAGATCAGTTCATGCAACAGAGAAGGAAAGTGTCTTTCATGAAAACTTTTAAGAGCGGGAGCGTTAGAAAGGTTAGGGAGGAGAGGGTAAAGGGAGTTGCTTAGGGAAGAGGGATCTGGGAATGCCACAAAGGGACACAAGGCATCACAGATGGAGAACGACAAGGACAAGGAGCGCTTCCACCTTCAGGTTCTCCAGGTCTTTTTCGTATTTCAGCCGGTGGGTTGTAACGTCGCCCTGCTCTTCTCGCCGCCTCATCTCTTCGGTCATCGCCGACACTTGGGTAAGCAGCTCTTGAATGCGCTGCTTCAGGGTTGGAGTTTGTGCTGACGCTGTGTTGCCCCCATCTTTTGCTGTCTGCTGTGGGTCCTCAGGCCCCATCATGCACCTCAGCTCTTCCATTTCCTGATCAAACCTTTCCAACAGGTTTGTCCTTTCCAGCTCGTGCTTTTTCCTGAGGTTCTCCATGCAGCTGGTCAAGGAGTCAATCTCTTTCACATTTTCTTCTGATCGGAGACGCAGAGTTTCGCTGGCCTGGGCTGCTTCCTCCCTCATCTTTTCTACTTCCTGTTCATAGTGGTCTTTAACCTCTCGGAGCTCCTTTCTATGTTTTGCTACTATGTCCTGGAGCTCGATGGTTTTATCCAGTGAGTCAATGGACTCGCCCTCTATCTGTATCATGGTTTCAGGTACAGTAGTGGTTTTCAAAGTAGCTTCGGTCAGCTGACTCTGAAGATCTGTCACTTTAGATTGGAGATCAACAGCAACTTCCCTCAATACTGGACAATTTGGACAATCCAAGCTAGTGCTCAGAACTTCCCTCTGCTTTTGCCTGAACTCTTTCTCACGCTGGACCTTAGACCTAATAATCACATAGAAAGTGCTTGTTTCTTTGAGGGATTCAAGCAAATATTCAGAGGGTTGTTGTTGCTTGTAACTGAAGTCAAAGCAAGTTAGAGCCATAGACAGGAGCTTGTCATCTGCATCAAGGATGATCCTGGATAAAATTTGCTTTAAACAATTTGACCGTGACTCTAATGTCTCTCTTAACTCTTTCAAAATCTGAAAAATACTTTCGTTGTCAAGCCAGCTGTACATAGAATCAAAATCTAACTCTGTCTCTGTGTCACTATTAAATTTTCTACTTGTCGAGATCATGAAGCTCTTTAGTGACAACATATTTTCTACCAAAGTTCTTGCAGTGTTGCAATCCCCAGGTTTAACTTTGGAGATACCCAACAGTTGGCTCCAGAACTCCGCCTCAACAACCAACCTCACATCGTCCCGACTCAAAAACAGCCGTTCTTCTTCTTTCAAAGAATCAAATAAAGTGCTTTTTAAATTGCTAACCATTCTCTCTGCATTAACCTCTATGTTTGCCAACATCTGTACAACATGATTGATTGCCTCAGCCTTCCTCTCAACCTGCTCTATTACTTCCTCTCTAAGGATCTTCACATCTCCTTGCTCTACTCCTGCTTCAACACATTCACTCGCTGTCACCCCTGCTCTAACCTTCTCCTTTTCCAACTTCTCTTGTAGCATTTTTATTTCATTTTCTGCTTCCTCCAGCTTTTCTTGACTAACTTTCTGGAATTCCTCATGAAGTTTGATCAGTTCACTGTTCCTAGCCTCAATTTCGAGACAGTGCTGCTGTGAAAACTGCAGGTTTGCCTCCATGTCATACATCTTTCTTTGTGAGGCCTCCAATAGCTCTTTGAGATGCTCTTTCTCAGGTTTTGAGTCGTCGTCTTCGTAATCTGTCGGGAAGCCCAGGCCCTTCAGCGTGGCTTCTTTTAACTGCAGCTTTTTCTCCGTCTCTTTGAGGGAGTTCCCAAGGTCCTCTAACGTGACAAGAGCTTCATGGAGCCTTAAGGACTTCTCATTCAGCTCTCTTTCATAATACTCTCTGTCTATGGCAATAGCTTGGTTTTCAGCCAGTTCGGCCTTGACTCTTTTTAGCTCTTCCACAGCCAGATGATGCTGCCTGCTACCCTGCTGGCTGTTCAGCTCAGCTTTCAGCCTGTCTATTTCTCTATCGGCCTCGGTCAGCTGGTTAACTATTTCCTGACATCGCTGCTTCAGTGCCTCGTTTTCATTTGTCAACAGTTCAACCCTCTGAGAAAGTATTCCCACAGTTGTCTCGTTTGCCTCCGAGTGGCCATAGGGGCTTTTTAGTCTCTCAACAGTTTGCCTCTGAACTTTGCCTACCAGATCCTCCATGGTGAGAAGACGAGCTTCGTACTCCCGGATGCTTTCACCAGCTCTGGCTAAACTCTTCTTTATCATCTCATTTTCTATTTCCTGCTGGTACTTCCAGGTTTCTAGAAGCTTCTGGAGTTGATGCCTTTCGGATGTCTCCTGAACACAACTATGGGATTTAAGGAGTCTTCCCAGCTCTGTTAGAGTCAGGCGTTTACCAGCTATCAAGTCTTCTAGTTCCTGAATGGCCTCTAAGCTGTCCTGGAGCAAGACACTCACAGTTTTTTGGACAGGTTCAGAGCTAGGGCTCTCCATGAGGGGTGTTTTTTGGGGTTCAGAAAGGTAAGGTTCCTTTGCAGGGAGGTGAGAAAGTGAGAGGCCAAGCTGTGCCTGCATATTACGCTTTTTCAATTCTTGCAGTTTCAGGAGCTCTTTGGTCTCCTGGTACTTCTTTGTTAAACTCTGTGCTTGAGAACTAACCAGTTCAGGCCTCTTCGTCTGGGGCGTCTCACCGCCCTCCAGACCCGTAGGATCCAGCTTGGAAAAGGGGACCAGACATTTGGTTAACACACAGCAGGGGTGACAAAAAAGCTTGCTAATAATTATCAGTGTTATCTACCAATCATTTCTTTCTAATTTTTTTAATCAAAACAGTGACATTAAAATTAGCATTCCCACATGGTGTATTATGTTCAGTGATTCAAAACAAATTAAGAAAACCCTTCAAGTTCATTGTTACAAATGAGAAGTAAAAGATAGCAGTGTTAGTGGATGTCATCAGAGCATGCACATTAAAGGGTTAGAAGTTATGTTTGTGTTAGAAATGCAATATTAGTTTTGGAGCAATGGTTTACTGAGGGATGGAAGACACGGCAGGTCCTACACACACACCTCTGTTTCCCTGTATTGTCAATCTTAGGTCATGTGGTACGACACATTGCTCGTTTAACTCACGGCAGGTAACTCAAATGCTATGTTTAAAAAGACGGGCAACACAGGAGTGCACACATAGTATCATAATGAACCAGACAATAGTATATCGTTCAAAAGATTCCTTCAGTATTTCTCTGAAAGAAAAACATAATTCAAATATCAACACACACAGAAATGCCTCCAAAATCAAACATTAATGCTGTTTTCACAGGAGTACACAGTATTTGAGCTTCACAGCAGTTAATAGAAAATGGAAATCTGTTCTTCATGCAGATAATGAGAAAACAGGCTGACGGGTTACAGATCTGACTGAGGCTCATGAAGGGTTAATGTCACTCTGAATGAAATGAATGATCAAGTCTTAAGACGAACAACCGTTTTAATGAACCAACTGTTAAACAGAATATCTAATCATTGGGAATTAATACAATTTGATTTCAGTTCCAGTGAACATTTGAATTTAAAGAAAAAAAAATCTATTCAAATAAATAATTTAGTAGGATTTAAAAAAATACAATATTTTATTATATTTTTGTGTTAATTTAACATTATTCATTTCTTTCTTAGATCTAGCTCTATTGTTTCTGAATTATAATAATGACTATAATTATAATGAGTTTTTGTCCTTTAGTTTATTTCTTTCCCCCAGTTGTCAACAGCTGTATTCATGGCTTTAACTTACTGTATGTTTACTGTACATACATATGAGAGATTGACGTATGTTCTCTTTACATTTACAGTGAAAGTCTTCTTTAATAGTTCACTGACAAAACCCCACTTTGTTTTGTTTTTCAGTTCATGACAAAAAGAAAACAAATTGAACAGGTTTGAATAAAACACAGAGCTACGACACGAGAGAAGGGAAAGCGCCAATTTAGTAAAAAATGTTTTTTTTTTAAATATATATATATATATATAAAATCAACATGCAACAAACTCATGCAAAGGCACATACAGTATCTGTAGTCACTCTGACCTTCAATGTCAGTTGGTTGTTTACTCACAGTGAAATACAACATGCAAAGAGTGTTATCGATATGGACAAAGAAACAGGGCTGAGAATCGAACTAAGTACTGTTTAAATCTACAGCAGGACTGTAGAACTGACAACAAACACACACACACACACACACACAGGCTGCTGACTCACCGGGGAAATGTAACCTGCGCGGATGTCGTGCTCTCTGTCCAAAGCTGTTCTCAGCTGCAGCTCCAGCTCCTGCTTATGCCTGTTGGAGTCGAGGAGCTGCTGGTGGCAGCTCTCCAGCTGAGCCTTCAGGTCCTCGATCTGTGGGAGGCAGCAGGAGATTAGGCAGGAAATATCACAAACACCTGAAAGTTCAGGGACGTTTTAGGGTTTCAAGGTTTGGCCCAAGTCATTATCATCTACCTCTTCATCCCTCACTGCAAAATATCCACAAACATTAAGGTGGGGATTTTAGATTTTAAATGTGCTGTTCCTCTTGTACAGCACATTTAAAATCTTAAATCCAGTAAAACAGATTTAAAAAAGTCAAACTCACCCCTTGTTTGTAATTATCTAGCAGCTGCTCCAGTTCTACCGTGTCTCTGGGCTGTCCCGTGGTGGGCAGGGGCACCCGCCTCTCGTCTCGCATGGGCGTCTTCTCCACCTGTCGCCAGTGCTGCTCGATCATCTCCTCCACCTGCTGCTGCTTCTCCTCAGCCACAGGACCCACTGAATCTTCTCCTCTGTCGTAGGACACGGTCCTTCCTGCTTCCCTGACAAATGGATGCTCTGTTGGAGAGACCATCGCCGTCTCATGCCTCCTCCTCCTCTCATCTCGTCTACGACTCCTCTCCAGCTCCCCCAGGTCAGACTGGAAGCTCTCGGCCTCCTGCGCCCTCTGCTGGGCCAGAGCCTGAGCGATGGGCCTGAACTCGGCCCAGTCAAAGGTTTTGGAGCGACCTTCTCGTCTGCGCTCACGTGCACGGCTCTTAGTGATGTTCGGGGCAGGTTCTCTATCCACAGACGAGGCCTCAGAGGAGGGGGAGTCCTGCGTGACGTCTGGCCTGTCCAGAACTTCTAAAGGAGAGAAGGAGCCGTGGTCCTCAGTGGAACTGCAAATAAGGAGTAGGAAATAAAGTCAAACTTCACAGTAGGAACCAGGAAGGACTTGTATGATTTAAACAACCATCATGTGAAGGCACCAACCTGGCTACATCAGGAGCATTAGAGGGCCTGACGTTCTTCATGACCGCCTGGATCCAGTTCCTCCGTATTCCTGCCGTCATGGCTGACAGCGCGTGCACTCCCTCCTGAGTCTAAACAGTTCAAACCATCATCAAAACAAACATCGACTCTGCAGAAAACTCTGGTGAAGTAACGTATATAGAATAAAAAAGTTTGTCTTGACTCAGTGTCAAGGCTGTGAAAAAGCAGAGCCACTTACGTAGATTTTGAAACCATAGTTGCGCTGAGCCGGATACTCGCTGACATTGTAGCAGGTGGAAAGGTCGATCTCACCGTCCAGATCGGAGGCCTAAAAAAAAAAAAAAAATGAAATTGATTCAGCCATGTAGAAAACCATTTCTGAAATGGCACTGGATCAGTATGGGTGACCTCTCACCTCCTCGGCTATAGAGTCCTTGTAGTACCGCAGGCTGTGATCTGTCAGCACAAACCAGTACTTTGTCCACTGCAACACAGGAGAGGAATAACACGTCAACTCACATGTGAATTGACACTACCAAAGTGGGAGGGAGTTTGGGGGGGCCATAAGACATCTTTATTTTATTTTATTTATTCAATGATCAATGTTTAGATTTTCACAGCATCAGTGAACAGAGGTTAACTGTACCTGGCCTTGATCATCCAGCTTCACCATCCAGCCTTTTTTGAAGTTCAGTAAATCCGGCTGTAAACAAAGAAAGAAACAGGAAAACATCTGTTCTAAGGTGCAGTGAAAAGATGGTTCCACATGCAAACGGACCTCAGGAGCAGACAATACAAACCATGTGCTGCTGTCATTGACCTTTGTTTACCTTGTGTAGCACAGTAAAAAATGAAAGTGAAATACTCAGGGCAGCAGAAACACATGCTCACTCAGCAAACTGAGGGTAGAAGTTGACTTAGAAGTTGAGGAGACAGTGGAGGGATTTGGCCAAATTGAAATTGATTCAGCCATGTAGAAAACCATTTCTGAAATGGCACTGGATCAGTATGGGTGACCTCTCACCTCCTCGGCTATAGAGTCCTTGTAGTACCGCAGGCTGTGATCTGTCAGCACAAACCAGTACTTTGTCCACTGCAACACAGGAGAGGAATAACACGTCAACTCACATGTGAATTGACACTACCAAAGTGGGAGGGAGTTTGGGGGGGCCATAAGACATCTTTATTTTATTTTATTTATTCAATGATCAATGTTTAGATTTTCACAGCATCAGTGAACAGAGGTTAACTGTACCTGGCCTTGATCATCCAGCTTCACCATCCAGCCTTTTTTGAAGTTCAGTAAATCCGGCTGTAAACAAAGAAAGAAACAGGAAAACATCTGTTCTAAGGTGCAGTGAAAAGATGGTTCCACATGCAAACGGACCTCAGGAGCAGACAATACAAACCATGTGCTGCTGTCATTGACCTTTGTTTACCTTGTGTAGCACAGTAAAAAATGAAAGTGAAATACTCAGGGCAGCAGAAACACATGCTCACTCAGCAAACTGAGGGTAGAAGTTGACTTAGAAGTTGAGGAGACAGTGGAGGGATTTGGCCAAATCAGTGTCAGTGGACGGGGACAACGTCCTACCGTGCTGTTTTTTCTGCTGCTGTGATACACCTGCTGTTGGCCACACAGTGATACCAACACACACACACGAGCTGTGGCTTCAGTAAGCAGTGGCAAGATGTGCTGTACTGTCATCCACAAAAAACTGACAAAGACAGATAAATGGACAGACAGACAGATGGACGGACTGACTTTTCTCTCTAACATATATATAATCATAAAGCTCAGCTAAAAGTGGCAGGACACATATCAGCAGTCTTCAAACCAGTGGAGCAGAGTCAGGAGTATAACCTGGAGTAGAAGGAACTGCACTGCCCCCTGCAGCTTGGAGGTACTGTATGGCCTACATCACTACACAAAGTCAAAGAAATGTAAAAAGAACAATAATAACAACAATGCAAGTTTAACTACAACAGAAATCAAACCAAAGTGACGGTTGCACAGCTGCTGCTGAGGAACTCAGAGATAAATTAGAGGAAAGGTTGTGACGGTTTGTTCAGAGACAGTGGCTCATTGAGGGAGAAGGAAGTTGGAGATAAAGAGAAGGAACGCAGGGAACATTCACGGATGTAGTGTGAAAACAAATGGAGATGGTGGGTGGAAAATAAGGAGGAGAGAGGAAAGGGCTGGATAAAGATCAAAAAGGACAAAAAGGAGGAAGAAAGAGGGTGATATGGGAGAAAGAGGATGTTTTTGTCCTGTAAACACACCTGCTCACTTAGCTGGACTCAGACATGTTGTCCATCTGTATCACACTGCTCCACTACCAACACTTACCACCACCAGTCCCTGAGAGAGGGCTGATTCCAGAGGCCGCCATGTAAACCCAGCAGCACGCTGCTCAGGGAGGGGAGGTGGGAGGGAGGGAGAGAGGGGACGTCCTTTAATTCCTTTAACTCTGTTATCTAACCCCATCTAGCCTTTCGCTCACAACAACTCGGCGACCCTGCTGCGCTCAGCTGAAGCCCCGGCACAGACGCTAACCCTGGATCCCACAGCTTAAACGGAACAGAGGGGCTTTGTCTGGGCCGCAACAGACATGGTCAAACACACAGGCGTTACGAGTGGAATCTTGGCGTTTGTGTGCCGCTCTATGTCAAACACAATCAGTGGAGAACTAAAGTTGAACCTGATCATCAGCTGATGGAATTCCCCCAGTGTCTGTGATCCAAAAAGCTCTTCTGTCTGTCAGACCACATCCTCCACCTGTGCAGCAGTTTGTTCCAGCAGGAACAAACAGCAGCTGGCTGTTCTGGAAACAGACGTTTACGATGCCAATATTTGAAGACGAGGAGAGCCGAGAGGCTGGTGTTTTTAACATAAACACCACTGCAGGATGTATTAATTAAAATAATAAATTAAATAAATTAATAATTGACAGATTTAAATTATTCTGGTAACTGTTGAATGACTCGGGGCCAGTGTAGTGCCCTGCTAACATTCCTGCCTGATACGCAGTGGGTTTCAGGATGGATTGCAACAAGTCCCCAAACCTGTCAAGGAGTTCAAGCACCTTGTGTGTGTAACCATTGTTCAGTTTAATGAAGTTTGAGTTTCTGATGTTCTGCTTGATAATCACGTCTTTTCCTCGATTAAAATACATGCTGAGATATAAAATCAAATAGCCCTGGAACCATGACAGAACCAGATCTTATAATATTTCTAAATATCTGACTAAAACAGCAGTTGAGGTGAAGAGGAAAAGTCACATGATGTGGTGTCTTATGATCTTATCCTCAGAAACGATCTCTAAAGAGTTTGACTGAATCAGACTTACGCTGCCACAGCAAACACCAAACCAAGGAGCGTTGACGGCTTCACAGTCTGACATTTGTACAACGTCAGTTTAGGTGAACATGTGTTTTCATGATTCAGAGAAAGCTTTTGAAATAATACAGAGGGAGCTTTCTGGACTCACCGTCATGACTGACTCAGTGGTTCTTCGGTCTAAGGACTTGGCTCTCCTCAGAGGGGGCAGGGTAGAGGGGAAGCCCGGACCCTGCCCATCGTCACGCTTCTGCTCCTGTAAGAAAAAACACACAAGAAAAACAATCAGGTTTGGTGTTTTACTGTCTTCAACTTGACTCGATATTTAGACGCAATATCACTGACAAGTGAGAAAGAAAAAAGATCAGCTCATGCACAAGAATCGTCCTGGGTTTCGTGATACTTGAATCTGTTTCTGATCAGCTAAGCCCTGACAAAGATAATAATCCTGTACATTTAACAGAGTCTGATTGTGACTGAACATTGGTCACATTTTATGTGAGCACAGTGGGCCAGGGTGGGAAAAGGAAGTCTGATCGCCTGGGGAATCCCACCACAGAATGGAAACTGGAAATGAACACAGCACATGCTCACGACCCCTGACCTGCAACCAAAACAAAGACAGGACAGACAGGGAAAAGATGGAGGCAAGAGGGCAAGGGTGAAGGGAACAGATAGGAGGAAGAGGAGGAGCAGGAGCTGGGACAGGGATGAAATTAAAAACAAAAAAAAGTCCTGAGGCGAGTTCACATCTGCTCTGTCATCTGATGTTGTTTATACTTCTCTACTGTATCCACCGCAAACAGCTTCACACTGTCACCACTGGAGGCACACACACACACACACACACACACACACACACACACACAGCAGTGTTACCTCTCTGTGGAAACGCCTGTGTTCGCTCCGGCCTTGTCTGTCTCCACTCCTCCCCGACTCCTCCACCTCCATTTTCTCCTGGTTCTCCAGCTCCAGGGCCTCCAGTTTTTCAATAACACCAGAACGACTGAAAATCCAATCAAACACACACACACACACACACACACACACACACACACACTTTAGGTTAAACGAATGTCCATGCCTTCATGTCAATCATCACAACAGTTTGTGGAGGCTCCACAGGTTTATTATTGTCTCAATGTCTTCTCACGTTTTAAAAACCTAATGATTTTTTCCATGACCTTTCACCTTCTTTTTAAAATTAAGGATTAGCAGAACTTCACCACTTGGTGAGATTCTAAAAACAATGACTTCAATCGAAGACAATCTCAGAAGACAATCTGCAATTCAGGAATTCATTCCAGAAAATTTTGCCCTTGGGGAATCAAAGCTGGTTCTACTGGCCCTGGTAGTTTGCTGACTGAGGTGAAAACAGAGAAACTCTGCAGCTCCTTGTGTCAGGTCGCCGTTCAAGTGAAGTTTAAAGGAGGGATGTGTTGGACGTTGGCAGTCTGAGGCTTCGACTCGCTAGAGTCGCACAGACGTGACATGCACTGGTGGACAACTGTCATGAAATCATTGTTTCTGGTCTTGACTTGGAAACGATGAGTTCTGAGAATCAGTGAAGGGTTGGCTGTCATTGGTTCACAGCAGCTTTTTAAAATAGGGAATTGAACACATTAACGTTAAAAAAAAACAGCACATAAAGCGGCCAACTTTGATATAAACCAGGTATCAAAAAGCAACGTCCTCTGGGTTTATGGCTGGAAATCACTGACACAGGGCTTTTGCCAGATGACATCATTTATGAAAAAGTGCTTCTGGAAGATCAATCTGGAAATCTGAGAGTGAGGGGAAGAAAAACGTAACAGCCTGAGCTGACTGGTGTCCATCGGAAAGCGAGCCACCAGTCTTGACACCCACTGCTGCAACAAAGAATCTGCAGTGAGGCAGAAGAAGAGGGTGAGAGGCAGAGGGGGATATTATATTACCCTTTTTGTCAAATTGCTGCCCTTATTTGGGGGCTTATACAGTCCTGGCTGCTGCCCTTAAAAGGGAAGGAAGGAAAGAGGGGAGGATGAGGACGTGGACAGACAGCAGGGGGCCCAACAAGATCCATCTGATGCTCCTCTGTTCTCACAGGCAGGACTGCGTTAAACTGTCACAGTCGGCCAGGACTACAATCTGTGGTGGGAAGTCAAGAGTGACACAGCCCGCCCCTACCCCTGCAGTAAAGTGATGTGAGTCAGAGGCGATGCGTGGTCGCTCCTACCTCAACTTCAGAATCTACTGCGGAGGAGGGAATGAAGCAGGAAGCTGAAGAGGGAGGAAAAAACGATTGGGGGGTGGGGTGTTCGCCTCACCCTCTATCTTTGTTTTACATGGGTGTGTGTGTGAACAGCACAGGGGTCAAGAAGCAAATAACTGAATGGAAAGAACACAGGCTGTAGGGCTGTACAGTCAGTTCTCTAAGAACCTGCAGGGTTCAAAAGGAGGGTCCTTCTGAATCAGCAGTCACTCGACTTTGAGGCTGAAAAAGGACTTTCAGACAGTGCACAGGTCCCTCTACTGGAATACATGTAAGACCTGAGATTCAGTGTGGATTTTTAAATGATAAAAATGATTAAATGGCGTTAGTTTCTGCAGCTCATCTCTGACTCCGAGACCCCTACGTTACCCATTTTTACTAGTGGAAAAAAGAAAAACAGTAGAGAACGGCTTGATTTTAAGTGCCTATTTTGGAGGGATGATTAAAAACATCAAAGTATTTCCTGATTTCACCAAACATACCATCCAATTCTGTTCTATGTAAACTACAATATTATAACTGTATATATAAAGTGTGCCTTTGAAAGGATAACCCTGGAGCTCCAGTATTTCCAGACCACAGTGCAGCACTGAGCTGATTCCAAGAATGCAGGTCCAAAGAGCTGGTTCATCAGGTTAAAGCACAGACTGATTATTGTCTGCTAAGGTGTCATCAGGTCGAAAATATCACATTCCCTGCCGTCTGACCAACATTACCACATTTCAGACTAGCCTGGTTTAAAAAAAAAAGAAACTACTTCCTATTTTGGTAACTGTTGGTCTGTTCTCAGATTCGCTGTCATCTACAGGTTTCATCATCTACGGGGATGTGTGCGAACAAAGGACAAGAGCGTGACTGAAGGTCAGGTGAGGTTAAAGCCTTCTCACCTTTCAGTGCCAGTATTCAAAGGTGCAGAGAGGAACTACTTTTATAAACCACTAGTGTAAGTTCAACGTTGGTTTGACACCATTTACATAACCTTAGCATAAAACTGTCCCATAGTAACAACACAGTATTGTCCGTGCAGTACCAAAGTTCACCAGTCTATTTTTAGACACAGGGGCTGAATATTTGCCTCACCACCGCACTGCTGGATTACTGATAAGACAATACTGACCTCCTCTCCGGGCTGAGGACAGGCTCCCTCTCCTGCCGCTCTGGGCTCTTGTACCGAGTCCTCTTCTCAGCCTTCCTGGCCTCAGCCTCCAGTTTCCTGGATCTCAGCATGTCATGGTGGCTGTAGACGTGGTTGCCTCTCTGTGAGGTTGGGTGACTGTCGTTGCTGGTCACCGTGCTGCCACTGGCGTCGGAATCCAGTGAGCTGACCGAGCCGCTAATGTGGGAGCCGTTGGAAAGCAGGGAGCTGCCGGAGGGGAAGGGGTCACTGGGAGCAGGTGAAAGGCAACGTGGGACCCCACCCAGGCTTGAGCAGGAGCCTGTGGGGGAGAGTAGGTCATTGGGTGGCTGCGGAGGAGCCGTTGAGCTGAGCAGCATCAGGCTGCCTTGGTCCACCTCGTCTCCGTTTACTGAGCCTGTGTCTGAGCTGCGACCAAGTGACTGACGCTCACCTGAGAAGATCATCCGTGTAAATTACACAGCAATGAAACAATACCCCACTGTAATTATTTTGGATAAACAGCATTGTTTCCAGCCATTGAGTCCAACCTGTAGGGTGCAGTGGTGCTGATGCTACATCAGCAGTGGCCCAGAGTGGGACCACCTCTGCCTCCCTCTGGTTCAGCTCCTCCTGCCAGATGATGGAGCTGGAGTCTGGAACCTTTTCTGCCTCTGGGATTCCAGAACCAGTCACTGCAACCTTTGCTGGGCCAGGCTCCTGGACACAAGGTGGAACATCAAAACCAATGGAATTACCAAGCTACACTACGGCAGCCAGGGTTCACAACACAACATATTATAATTCTTGAGCGTCACAGTTATAACAAGACATAACAAAATGAAAACTAATAACATTTTATAACTAAGTCAGGTCCAATGTCCAGCTCCAGACCAGGTCAGCTTTACATACCTGCCTAATACTTATGACATTCAGACCACATTTCCCATGATTCATCAGGGTAAAATACCATTTTAGTGACCCTCACCAAATGGTTAAGTTCTCTTTAGGATTTAAAAAGAACACATCAACACACGACTGCGCGGCTGATCCATGTTTTGTAGCTACCTGAACACTACGATGAGGAGAACCTACCTGGGAGGTTGCAGGTTCCACCTTGCGTTTCTTCTTCTGGTTCTGTTTGTTGGTCCGTGGGTAAACCACCAGCTGCTCGCTCCACCTGGCAACACGACACGGTAAAGTTTAATTTAACGACATATAAACGTTAAGGTTACATCCAATCTCAACATCCAATCAGCAGCCGGACCACTCACCCATTGATGATTTCCTTGTTCTCTCCTCTGATGAAGTATTCCTGCTCAGGTGTTATGATGCACAGCGAGTTCTTCTGTCCTGTCTTGGGCTCGGCGTCGATCACATCCGTGCAGAGGTTCATGTTCACGGTGCCCTGAGGCAGCGTGCTGGGCTGAGTGAGGAACAGGACAAAAATGGCCTTTAATAAGTGGCATGTTGTAGAAAACTACGATCAGAACCAAGTCCAAGTCTTAACAAGAGTTCCCAGATAAAATAACATGCACCTGACGTTCCTTTCTCACGGTTCATAGACCAATGTTCTTAGAAAGTCTTCTACATTGAAACACAGACTTAAATGGAAAGTAGTAAAGTGTAATGATATTTTTGTGGTAAACAACATTTAAAATACTCTGCTTCTATAAATGTCACATATTTTTAAAAAAAATAAAGAAATCAATTAAAATGTGAAAAAGAACAAATGTGAACCACATGGTAAACAGGATGCCTGAGTCACTGGTTGGTTTTTCCATACTGGATGAGTGACCTCCAGACTAAACACTGATATCAACGAGGTTCGCATTTCAATCTGTTACAACCTTAAATAGAAATGTAGTTGTTGAAGTTGAAAAATGTTTGTTTTTTTTAACAGTCGGCTCTAAGTCCTGATCTGCTGCTCTGGTTCACAGTGCAGATTTGAAGGCCTGTACTGTACAGACTCCAGGTCGCCATGGTAACTGGGCACAATCCTTTTCACTTCCAGCACACATGGAGTGAAAAGGGGAGATGACAGCAACGGGATGCCGGACTAAAGCGGCTTTGTGTGAGGGATCAGTGGAGAACGTGGAGCTTTGTCTGCTTTGTGAAGCAGCGACGACACAGAAAAACTCAAACACACAACCTAAACACATCCTGGTAAAAAAAAAAACAGGAACGTCCAGATTCTAGTGTGTGACCTGTGTAATGTTCAGAAACTGCCCTAAACTTCCTCCTCTCTGACCTGTCCTCCGTCTGCTCCAATTCCTGTGGCTCGTTATCTCGCTCAGTTTGGTTATGTCTTCAAACAGATCTTAAACAGGTGCCGGGTCTGGTTCCAGCTCCTTTTAAGGCCACTGGACACAGATCCAGCTTTATTAAGATCTTGTCTGGAAACCCCTGTGGTCTGCCAAATATGGCAATTACAGGCCGTTGCAAGTTGGATGAAGAATTTCTTCCAAGAGAAAGAGAGGGAAAAAAAGATGAAGTTGAGAAGTTTAAGAAAAAAATAGTTCTCCCTTTAAGCAGCAGGAGAACCTGCGGCCACAGGTCACTCTGATGAATCCTGAGATCAGCTCTGGAACAAAGTGGACACTAGAAGAACCCACTGTTTATTCACTGTGGAGAGAAGCTCAGAAAACATTACAGATTCCCAGATATCGTCAAGATGTTTCTGAACAAAAGGTTCCTGGAACCAGGATCTGATCTCAACTGGTTCCTGTACATGGAGTGAAATCAGTATATTATACTGATAAAACGTCAGTATATCAGACAAACAAATGATAAAATGTACGTAAAAGAGAGTTCCTCAAGGTTGGACCCCAGTTACCTCAAAGACAAATCTTTGAATTTAAAAACCATCACAATAAATATGTACATGTAAAAATTTGAAACTGTGAAGAAGTTTTTATTTTTATTATGGAATTCTAGTAGTTTTTTTCCTGACAAATTGGCAACTGCCATTAAACTGTTCTGTTTTTGGCAACTAAGCAAAAAACACTAACATTAATAAATAAATGAAATAAAAAAGCCAAAAAAGAGTCATCACTTAAAAAACAAGCAACAAAAAAAGAAAAAAAAGCCACAAATTTGAGATGAGTAAAAATGATTGACTATATTAATAATTATATACATATATGGATTAAATCACATCTGTGGTAGAACTGGAGTCAACATGAATTCTTAATCTATGGTTTAAATAATCAGAATCCAATTCTTAACTGCAGTTTTTTTGCTTATATGTGAATAATATCTATTGAAGCAGACACTGAAACAGAGATGGAGGAGATTCCTACAGAGATACAGGAGGATGGTTAGTCTAAGGTGGAACGTTCGTTGGTCAGCTTATGATGATGATGACGATGAAGAGACCACATAAGCAGCTTGTTGCTTAGAAACTGCAACTTGGCAGCAAAACAAAAGAACTATCAACAAGGCTACAGCTCCAAGCCCATGGAGGTGGGTTTGACTCCTCCACAGCTGGGTCCAAACCATATCCTCCAATTGTGTTGATGATGTGCTGCTCTGATATTTTTAGCCTCACTCAGAGGTATTATTAAAACAACTCTGGAGATTTCGGCCCTGTGTCGCTGACATGACATGAGGAGGCCTTTAAACATAATGAGAGCCAACACTGGCCACAGGAGAGCCAGGGTTGGTGTTGTTCACACTCAAACCCCTAAGTTGCGTCTATATGGTTGTTACTCTGTTCCTTAAGTTTGGACGTTTTACTGCAGCTGCGGCTGAACAGTTAACCCCCCCCCCAAAAAAAATACATAAAAAAGCAGCATGAAATAAGTAAGCTGGGGGAATGAAGTGGAGAACACCCACTCCATAAATGATAAATCCTTCAGGAGGTTTTTACAGGCTGAGCCAAAGGAACGTCCACCACAGCAGGCCGCGGAGCACAGACTGCTGTTTTATGTGCTACATGTTCCTGCACACAGCGCCCGCCATCAAAACTCTGCACAGACAGGAAGGAAGTGCCACTGCAGCTTCTGCAAATACTGTTCCTGGAGAACCTTTTCCAAAGCAACAAGAGGAAAGAACCTACTAAGAACTAAAGGATAAGTCCTAAAGTTTTATCAGTGGCATCAGGTGGTTGACGTTGCATAGATATTTGATATAAAAAAAAATTATGGAATTCCCAAAGATGACAAGGCAGTTCTGCGATGGACAGCTCCCCTCCTGTGCCTCCCCAAAGATGTCCTCATGGTCACTGACCTCAAGTTTGCAGGGTGGTCTTATAAGTCAACTATTGGCCTAAAAGTTCTTCTCACTGTATATCAGTTACTGAGCCATGAATATAACAGTGATGTATTTGCTGAACTATTCTGCGAACTGTTCCAGAACCGAGCCGGGTTCTAGCTGTGGCAGGCCGTGTGCAGGAATGTCTGGGTCTGGGGCATATTTGACGTTTCCTCTGTGGTTTTTTGGGGGGTAGGGTGGAGGGGGTGGGGGTAGCTGCCTCTCTCCTGCGCTCTGTGATCCAGGGCTCCTCAAGCTCACTGCAGTTCACCAAATATGGGCATTGGAGGAGGAATGCTGCCTGAGAGGGAGAGCATCTTTCCCTCTGGCAGCGGTGAAAATAGTCCAGCTTTAAGAGGCCACTGCTGCAGATAGCACCCTGCTGTCTACAGCAGAAAATAGAAGATTGTATCATGATGGCCTGGACGTTGGTCTATAAGAGGGGTTAAATATTCTACACTTTGGTTCAGTTCCTTCACTATTGTGACTCGCTGATATCAGGCTGGGAATAAAACTTTTCTTTAAAGTTTCGGTTTTCTTTTCAGAAAGTGTTGCGTTCCTAGTCGCACCAATGTTGCAGAAATCCTTGGCTCGTTGACCTGATTTTTGGTCTGCTTCATCACTTGCCCATAGACTGTTTATAAAAGATGTGCATCCCCAGAGTCGGATTTCTGAAGCCAACTGGAAAAGCTACATTGGCTGCAGTCACACTGCTGGTCAGCATCTTTCCTCTGAGACATCCAACTGAAAACTGCCAAGTTCTCGTATTAATTCATCAGTTTTTTCTTTCTTCCAGGAGTCATTTTGTCTGACTGAACATTTCTTTCACATCACTATTGTAGTCAAAGTTAACACAGACTAACTGTGCTGTGCTGTTAGCTTCGCACTGACTCATGTCAGTTACCAGTATAATGTGTTTCAATTGCCCGTGTTGGGTGGGGGTGGGTGGGGGCTACATTGGTACAAATATGTCCCATTCTTGCAGTACCAGTTTCTGTAGAATCCTCCTCTGTGGTGGTTACAGACGATAAACTTCTTTAATTTCCAGATTTCTATTTTATTATCCGTATATAGTGACACCTGTGACAGCCTTATAAAGTACTGAGGACAGGGCTGCAGCAGGAACTGTTAGAGGAACCTTATCTGTTTCATCTGGGTCTGTTTGTACTTCAGTTTGGTATTTTATATATAAACCTCACCATGTTTGTGTATGGGCTACACACTTGGAGCCGTTCTCAGCCTGCTGCCATGGCAATCAATGCTGTAGGCGGGCGTAGGCAGAACTGGTGGGAGTGGAGTTTGGTACGGATGCAGGCCGGTCATTTTAAAGACAAACTCTCTACCCTGCTGTTGTTTTACACAGTTCTGTAGGTGTTTCAGGTGACTGAACAGAGCCGGTATGCTGATGAACAGCAGTGAGAGTTGAAATAATGAGATCAAAAGAACAATAACACAAAGTGTGTGTGGGCGTCGCTCCACTAAAACTCTCTATTTTGGGAAAAACCACAGGAGAAAAATGAAAAGTATGAACATTAGCTTCAACACAGACCTCAAACTAAACATGGCTTTGTTCAACTGCGGGACAACGGCAAAGGAGCTGTGATGCTATCAAGACCCATAAATGTGTCGTTATCAGCTCTGATGTTGAAAAGAGCTCCATTGCTCGGGGGTGGGGGGGCGCAGAGCACCCATTTCCCTGACCCATTTTCCTGCCGTGTTGAGCAGATGAAAAGAGTCCAGGACAATGAGGCAGACAGTTTAGGAATCACTGGTACAATAAGAGGAAAAACAGCCGCGCACACCAGGCTGGGTGTCACTGGAAACACATGACACAGTGGAAACATGCACACGCAGGAGGAAAAAAAAAAACTGCTCACGTTTCCGTCCATTGTCAGCAGTGGACAACACAAAGAGATTCACCACACGTGACTTAACATAAGGCCTGCGTGCGCACACAGAGGCCCAGAGAAGCTGTTTCTACCTCAGCCCATGTATTGAACCCTCCAGATTCCCTCAGTGGGACACACACACACACACCTGCTGGAGGGTAAATCAGAAGACAATTCACTGTTGTTGAAAACTGAGCGTCCGTCCTACAGTGCAGCCCGCGTTTCATCTTCTGACACAGTGTCGGAGGAATGTTTACACACAAACAGCTGCATCTCCAGCCTGATCAGCAGGTACCACCTCACTCACTGGGTTCCAGGCCCCTTTCTAAGACACTGCAGGTGTTGGATTCTGGGAACCTTAAAAACTTTTAAATGCTTCAACTGCACATGTGAAGAAAACTGGTTGAATGATGATGTCACAGCTTCCAGCATGCCAACATGAAAAATCTAAGCAGTTTTAACGAGTAACCGCTAAAATTATTATTTCTGTCTCATTTCTGTTTAGTTGACACATAAATAAGTTGTGCAGTGACTCAACTACGCCTTTGCTGATTGGAAATTGACAATAAGTGTTGAATTCCTTCAGGCCCAACCAAGGTGCCAACACCTGCAGGGACTTTATTGTTGTTTCTGAATGAGATAATCAATCATAAAGTGTAGCTTTCTATTAACACACTGCCATGAAGTTGCTTTTATTTGTCAGTGACCTGTGACATTTACAGTAAGGTGAGAGAATCAGACAGAGACCAACCTCATGTCCATACTTGTTGACAGCGGTCAGGAAGGAAATCCTGAACTGTTTAGTAAACTTGGTAGGAAATTTCATATCCCTTAGTTTTTCAGGGATTTGAAACAATAACTTTTAATTAGTAGAGAGGTTCACTCAACAACACAAGGAACTGATGAGTGTGTGTTACAGACTCACCGATTCATCCAGGGCGAAGCGTAAGCAGCCGTGTTCGTAAAGCACAAAGAATCTCCTCTGCCATTTCTGAAAAAACAGAAAAAAAGGTTTAACAGATTTGTTTAAACTTAGTTGGTTTTTTGACATATTCTTTGTTGACTTTTTTTTTCCTGGCACCACAGTAGCTGGAGCAGTGCTGCAGCAGTAAACACATGCCAGTACATTAACCTGAATAAAGGTGAAGCACATGCACATACCCCCGTCACTGCACAAAGAAGCAGCTCGATGAAGAGTACAGGCTCTTACCCGAGATCTTTGCATGGGATTGTCAAAGTCGGTCCCCTCGGGGGCCAAGCACAACCATCCTCCATAAATAGGTTTTGCCTGTAAAAGAGAGGGGGGAGGAGAGGGGGCAATTTAGCTAATCATTAAAACTAGATGAGAGTGTGAGAGTCGAGGGGGATGGGACAAGAAGGGTGTGTGTAAATATCAGTCTCAGGGTGAGAGAGAGAGAGGGAGAGAGAGTGTGCTTTAGACTATCAGATGTTGTCTCTGCTCTCACAGTGCAGGGGGGCATTTAGTGAGCCCTCTGCTGTAATCAGCTCTGTTTGATGACACGCTCCAGTGATGCAGTTTTACCCTCCGTTTACCCGCAGCAGATGAGAGCAGAAACCACAGACGCTCACTGAGTGACTGACTACGGATACAACCACACGGCTGCTGTGGTTTGAGGCTGGGTCGGCACTTGGACTTTAGTCATTCAGTTCACATGAGAGCAGAGCACGTTTTATCACATCCTGGCTGTTTGGTCCTTGGATGGCAGGAGTATTGGACTTTGGTCAAATTCAGGACATGGCTATAAGTTTGATTTGTCTTTATAAAGGTCATTTCCTCAGAGCCAGGTTTTGTAGCCTAAGACACAGTTCTGAAAGTTGTAGAGTTCAGGATATGTTCAATGGAACCTTTTCACTTTTCAAATACAGGGAGCTGATTGGATAAGGGAGAGGAAATGTCTTAGAAAATAAAAACAAAATTGCACATTTATAAAACTAACTGTGACCACTAAGTTGAGCTGTGGAACTGGAACTATTATTACTTTCTTTGATGTTGAGCGTGATAACTCTTATTTAGACAGATGTGAAGGGCGTGTGGGGGAAACATCAAAATCTGCCCTGTTCCCTCAAGACCACAGACTACTGGAACCAAACTTAGGATTGATGTGATAAATTGTCTTTAGATGTCAAACGCATGGGACAAAAATATAAAAAGATAAATAACTGAATATATATGTGGAGATACAAATAAATGATGCATTTTCTCAACTCTGGACAAAGGGGTTTTTCTCATTGACCCATATTAGTGGTCTGTGTTCACAGATCACTGTACATTAGTGTGGACATAAGGACACCTCAAATCAGTGAAGAGAAAAGTTTCTCATGATGACTGCTCTAGACCTAGACTTCTGGACCACAGGTCCACAGAGGCTGAGGCAGGAGAGTTCAAAAGCAGGAGGAACTCATAAACACGGGGCTGGCTCTTTAAAGGTGCTGCTCTTTGCTCTCCAATAACACCCACCTCCTCTGTGTGTGCAATGTTAACCATTAGTGAGCACCTCTCATTCCAGCACTGGCCACCACCCTCCCCTTCTTCAGGCCAACAATATCTGAGCTGGAAGGTGAGGCGATCCAATGATTAGCCTGCTCCTCTGATACAGGAGCTATTCCTGCCCTGACGCTCCGCCGTGTCACTGCATGCCTGTCATAAATCCATATGTGCTTTGTCTCTACCTGTACGGACGTGCCTGTGAAGGCAGTTTTGATTAACTGAAACCATTAAAAAAAAGGTATATATTGGTGTCCCAGATATGTCAAACAGAAAGGAAGATGGGACCAATCAGGTCCCTCTTATCATGTCTGTTTAAAAACAAAAACACACAAAAAAAGCACAGGAGACAGGAGAGACAAGCACTGAAGTAAAGGACACAAAACAAAAACAATGAGAAGCAGCTGTTTCAGAAAGAACTCATCCCTGCTCACGCAATTACATCAACACACAATGGAGCAAACTTCCTCTCTGCTCATCCTGCAGCAGGGAACAGCCTCAGCTCAACCCCCGTCCAAAATGAGAACATCATGAAACTCTGAAAGGGTTCAAAATAATTTAAAATACTCAAAAGCTTTGTATAAGAAAAAACAAATTCCAATCAATTGTCTTAAATCGTCAATAAATCCCAGCCTGAGATAAAACAATTTGTTTGTTTGTTTGTGTGACTAGAAGTTCTATGAGAATTTATTTGGACATTATTTAGAGACAATATCATAACCAACGAGGCAGCAGTGGATCAGCAGCTCCTGTGATCTGGCAGAATAAAAATGCTCTCATGTTCTTTGTGGAACCTGGTGCAGCAGGCTGGGACTGGGACTAGTCTGGTCCAGCCATAATTAAGTGATTATGCCACCAATAAAACCATGATGGGAACATTTAAACCCCCATAAACCAGAGTGAAGATAAGGATTAAGGAATCTATTTTTCATTTAAATTTTCAAAACTATTTTTGACCTGAAATAATTGGCTAGTGTTGCTTATATTGGATATTTGATAAGTTTAACATGGAATTTGTGTAAAATGCTGTGAGCAATAAAGATGTGTTGTCTTGTCGCACAAATGCAAAACACACACTCACTGATATGCATATTTTAACAAGTGTGTGTGTTATTATTTACAGCTGTGGAATGCCACTAACTGCTACTTTAATGGATACTCTCTTTAACAAGCAGTTTCAGCATAAACAGAACACAGAGCGAACATCCGCTCACGGGTATTACTGTGCACACGCACACAAACCTCTGCTTGTTTTTGACAGAGTGCACAGCCCACTTTAGAGACACACTGAAGCCGTCATAGACTTCACCCTTCTTACAGCTCTTCGTCAGTGTATTTTACTGCTGCACACGTTCAACTACACAGAATATTCAGTAACCAGGAGAAATATCAGGAACTCGTCGAACCTGCTATGTTATCATATAACGTTAAATGTATGTGCACAGTGCACAAAAAAGGTCACAGTCACTGATGTGTGTTGAGAATAAAAGATTTTACACCACATGAATCTTCTGTCTCTGCACATGAAACAGGTGACATTTCATTCCGTTGCCTCATTACTGTAATTATGCTTGTTATCACATCTCATCAATGTGGTCCTACAAAACGCTGCCAAATCGTCAGTGAGATGCAGCTCTACAATCAAGTCGCCACTTGACAGCTTTCAGCTTCATTGCTACACCCTGCTAAAGAAAAAGAAATCTTCACCCAGCTGTGGCTGTGTTCACATACCAGGCCTAATGGAGCAGGTTGCAACAATTCAGAATCAATATCAGAATGATCAAGAACTTTTTCTCTCCGTCAGCTGGCTTTGGCCCCACTATCCTCCTCCGCCCATCAGAGTTTGAAATGACAGAGTAATAAAGAGTAATTCTCATTAAGGAGGCCCCGTCAAATAAACACAGTATTGGCTGGCACAGGGCCATGCATGTTGGCATGAAGTCATAAACAGCCTGCAGCCATTTACTGCATTGGAACATTTGGTAGACGTTAAAGACATACAGTAGTCTATAGGGTTGGACTGACAGGTTGGTTTAAATCCTGGTGAAGCTGCAGCCTCTGAATTCCAAACCTCCTCCTCCTTTTCTTTTCCTGTGACTCTGGCTCCCACTCCTTAAATCCCATCACATCTCTGCACTTGTCTTTACTTTATCCCTCCCACGTATGTATAAAATCCCTGGCTGCCTGTGTCCTCTATCACTGATTACTTTCCTCCAACAGGGAGACAAACCCAAAAGAACATCTCGTCTTTGGGGAAGAACAGTTCATGTGGTGGGGAGAACTACGGGGTCTGTTCGACCACGTCGACTGAGACGGGAGATTTTTACTCCAGCAGCAGTAGCTCATCCAGCGTTTATACAAGAAGAAAGACACTGTTTGTATTGGACACTGTCCTTATGACATTTATCTCTTGTCCAGTGGTAACTTAAACTGCAGTCCCAAACTCCAACTTCCCTCAAGTTTGAAATAATACTTCTACAAATCAGGGCTTAAATGCACTACAGTAAAGATCACTCATTGATTGTGTTTTCACAGCATCAAACTTTCTTTTTCCTGGGTCATTCCCCTGTAGCTTCTCTTGGTCATCGGTTCCTGAACACTGAAAACATTCCACAAAGCTTTACCCTCACCTTGAACAAGCCTCTGAGGTTTAACGCAGTTTTATATGCCGTTACATAATACAGCTTTAAATCACCAAAGCACCACTGAGGTGCAGCGTTGTCTCGTTCTAAGGCCTCTCCACAAAACCCGCCTGTGTGAGTGGGCTCGCGGCTTCTGTTTGGATAGCTGACAGAGTGGAGACACAGCCAAAAGCCTGTGGGCGACTGGAACAACAGTGATGAGCAGGGACAGACTGATGGTGAATCAATCTCCTAAATCGCGGCAGTAAAGCCCCTGTGGTCTCAGCTGTCGTCATCTGGGCTCTGGGGGAAGGTTTCCGCCAGGTCACGGGGAGATTAGAGGAAGTGATGTAAGTCATAAGCTGCCAATCCTGACTCAGGAGTCTTGCACTAGAAGGGGTTAACTTGTAATAAACTCCTGGCAGCAAGTGATACAAACACACTTGTGAGCACCCACACACTCCAAGAGTGGGAGAAGGTGCTGACGTTGCAGCTTGGCTCTTTAGTTCTGTTCGCGATCCATCTGGTCCTTATTGTCTGGTATCAATTATGAGATTCAACGAAGACTAAACTAATGATCTGACAGAGAACGAGGGAATCGGGAAGAAACACTCATAATATCAACTTGGCAGCTGAGTGGACTTTTCTGTTCTTCTCCAATCAGAATCCCATATTTGGCATGAAACGTTATGAAAATTTTACATTATGATTATCCTGTCCGGAATAACTGCAAATCTCCAGACTTGTATTCATCTAACATAGCTTATCCTTTTGCAGGTCAATGCAGAACCTGGAGGAGACATCTGCTCAGGACAGGTCTTCAGTGCGATTGAGGGTCACCATAAAGAGCCAAAAAAAAAAAAGACTATTTATAGGAAATGTACAGAACATTCATTGTGAAGTCCAAATATTCTGAATCTCAGTTGTCAGCAATCAAACAACTGTGATTCACGTTCATTCATGACGGCATGTAAATATCAGTCTAGTTTTTGCTCTACAAGTAGATTACATGAAGTGACTTTATAAAAATACACATAGTAAAGCACTTCTGGTCACACATGTTAGATATTAAATCCTTTTCACCATTTTTGAAATATTAGAAATTCTATAGACTCAACCTACTATGACAACTTGCAGGAACACCATCTCTCGTCGACCCATTTAACTCCACAGAGTGGTAACCACCGGTCAACCAGGAGGAGCACACAGTAAAAACAAACAACTGAGGACAAACAACAGCTGGAAGTTACACAATCAATCACACAGAGACCAAACTGGCAGGACAAGGAGACCAGTGAAGGTAGAAGAAACCCACAGGAATCCACTTTCACCAGTCCTTTCTAGACAGGGAGCCGCACATGGATTTGGTGGAGAAATTGTAGATGTTTTGGGTTTGTGTCCAAACTAAACACAAACTCTTTCTCCTTAGTTGCCGCTGTTGCTCTGCAGCAGCATGAAGATTGATGGTGTCGCTTTCAGACACTGTACGTCTGAGTCACTAATGGACATCCTGCTCATTTGTAAAACTCTAGGTTCATTTCTGTCCATTAGAGTAGATGTGGTCAGTCCATTATCTTGGCGTGGCTTGATAAGATGGTTACATATAGTACATGTACTAACATTTCTCCACTGTAGCCTACATGGAGTGCTCCTTTATTTCTGATGTCAACGTGTGACACTATACAGCTCCAAACAAGTGACATCAGCCAAAACTTGACTCGTACAACACAACCACCGTAGAGACTCAACCAGAGTTGTCATGTCATATCTCTGCTAATACTTCCACCGTCTACGGACCATTCCTGAGGATCGTTCTGTTGTGTTTCCATCCAAATTTAAATATGCAATGACAAATGATTAACAGTTATCCAGACTCAGAGGCCACATTGATATAAAACAGATGCTCATTTTGCAATAATATTTGAAAATGACAATAACAATTACTGTATTTGACTTTGAATGCATCTTATACTTAAGTTTTTCTAAACCAAAATCCAAATCCAAAAAAGGGTACACACAATAATTCAAATAATAACTAAAAAATGACTGATTGATTGTCAAAATTGCAGTTGAGCAATTTGTTGGACGATTATTCACTTCACAGATTTTCCCAAAAGACAAATCTGAGTACAAACAGAATTTGAAACCATAAACATTTACTTTACAGTCACATTAGAGCAAAGAAACCAGTACATTCAAGACATCTATACAAACGTCCATGGAAACAACGCTCAAATAAACATTAGTTACAGATTATTAATTAAGTTTCATTATTATGACGTAAACGTATGACGTTTCAGCAACGAAAAGGTATTTTTTCTTGATTGGAAAACGTATTTTAATAAAATTATATTATGGCAATTTTTCACTTTTACCTTTATTAATTCAAATAAATGGTTGCATCTTGGACCAGACGTCACAGTTGGAATGGACAGATTATTCGTTTTAACAAACGTTAGAAGACAGAAATGAGTGCGTAATAAAAGTAGGTAAACAGACGGTGACATTTTGGTTCTTACCTGGGTCAGATCCTGGTCCGTAAGCAGATGAAGTTCCCGAGGCTTGAAGCAGTTCTGACATTTACTCTTATTAAAGAAGTTGGCCTGGAATTTCCTGCAGGAATTTTCTTTAGCTGAAGACATGATCATGACACGTTTAGTTTTTCAAACTCTTCGTGGAAGCCAAAAAGATAACAACTAATTTAAAAAAAAGAAAAATCAACCAAAGAATAGAGAGGGGTTAATGTAATCCCGTGTCCTCTCCGTTTTCTTCTTCGTTCCAATCAAACTAAGAAAAACATCCAACTGTGCAATGCATTTCAAGTTTCGGCTTAAAAAGGCAAATCAAACTCTCGTGTAATTATCCATTTGAAGCTTATTTAATAAATATTTAGCTGCCACTTGTCCAGTCAAGCCCTCTCGTCATCATTCTTGTCTCCTTTAGTCCATGGCCTGCCTCCACAAAAGCGGAGAAAGGTGAAGCTAATCTGCTGTTAGCCTTCTGTTCCTGCAGAATCTTCCAGATCGATAACGCGACGGCGCGACCCGCACAAAAAACACAGTGTCCTTTAAAATGAAAGCAAAATAATTGACGAGCCTCCTGCTGCTGGGACGGAGGAAGTAAACGCTTTCAGCTGGGGCAGGAGAAGGAGGAGAAGCAGGGGAAGCAGGAGGACGCTCCTCTACTCTCCCATTCGCAACCCTCGCTCCATGCGAACTTCCTCCAGGCTACGGCGTTAGCTGCGCGGCTAGCTATCCAGCTGGCTAACTGGCTAATAGAAGCCTCTCCCGGCTGCCGTGTCAAAGTTAAAAGTAAACTTAAAAAACAAAGAATGAATGCTCAACAGCAAGAAAAAATCCGACTTCAGTTGCGCTCCTCCTCGGTGTGAGTACTAGTTACCAGGGTTTGGTTCCATAACTAGCCTGCTTAATAGCAGCAGCGGCGGTGGGTTTATTTTCTTCTCTCTCTCCCAGCTCCAAACCAACGGAGGGAGGGGGCGGAGCCTTGGACACACACACAACACAGGCTCCAGGAATTCCACAGGGATCTCGCGACAATTCCTCACTGACGCCCCCTTCAGTGAAAATAAGCTTCACTGCGCTGTATAAACAAGCAGAGTAAACACACTGTACCTGCCATATGTCCATTATGTAAGAATGTCCAGTGATGATGATAAAACCATTACATACGCCCATAGAACAAATAAAGCATTTCCTAAGATCTTTTCACAGAGCAGTTACTGTACAAACACGAGGTAACTATACCTTTGTCACAAAAGTCAGAGAAATAAAAAAAATATATAAATGCATGGTCAAGAAGAATGGTAAACAAGATGTAGAGGTTTGACATAATTTATGACGTCTGATTGTTTTTTTATCTGAGGGGTGGGCACAGGGCTGGAGCAGTGTTCATTATAATGACGACAGAGGGGATGATCATTTAAAAAATAGTAATAATAATGACTTTTTCAATGACGTCATAGGTCAGACATAAGTCAAAACAAAAATACATTCTGAACAATTTGCACATTTGTCATAACAATGAGGCGACCAAAAAATAAATAAATAAAATATTTAAAGTCCAAATGTTGGTGTCCTTAAACAACTGTGAACTAAAGGCATGACTTTTGCTCATCATCCATTCCTTCTGTCTGGCGACAAGTAAACATGCCTCAGATTCTACTGTGCACCATATGTGTGTATTAATGGCTGACTCAGGCAGCTGCTATTATAAGCAGCAGGTTGCAGGGGACAGCAGCCATCGGGCGGACAGACAGTAGGGGAGGAGGAGGAAGAAGAGGAGGAGACCCGTTTGAATGGACCAGGGACACAGAAGAGCACCTGTTACCTAACCAGATCCAGAGAGAACAACATCAGTCAGGATTAGATCCTCGTCTGTGCTGTAAGTGAACCAAGAATAACATAGATTACCAGTCTGTGTGTGTGTGTGTGTGTGCCCGGGTGTGTGTTGTGTTGGGTGGTTGCTATAGTTGTGATCTCACCCACTGACTAACCCACTGGCATATGTCATGTGTCCACCTCCAAACATGGGGGTCGGACCGTGTCCATGAGGTGGACGTCCATATGTCACAGTCAGTTATATTTTCGGTGCAGATTGTGAGTTTTTTCTCAGGGCAGTTTTCCTCAGTAAAGTCTGACAGTGGGGGTCACTGTCCCACCCAGCCTTGCCCAGCACCCACACAGAGTATCCTATGACAACTTCCTGGAGGTGACCTAGTGGCAACAACATGACCAGAATATATTTAGCTGCTGTGCTCAAACTCTCTTTACATGGTAACCAAAGTGGTCCATGGTTCCGTTCCACTGCACAGTTACAACACATCACCAATCCAACAGTCATTAACTGGGTTCCTAGACCTTCACGTAATGAAGTTTGGACCAGGATTTAATCAGGAGAACATGGCTGTTAGGCCACCACCGAGGTGCGGTTTAGAAAAACCAGCAATAGGTGGCGCAAGCAACCAACACTTGTTGAAGCAGTGTTTTCTTCCCTGGTGTAACTTTTCCTACATACAGACTATTCATGTTTTTATTCTATAAATAACCCAAACTCAAAGACAATCAGCTCATACAAGGATTAAGAGTTCAACTTGAAAATCACAATTCCATGTAATTCCCATTCCGGAATTCCGTGACTGAGAATCTTCATAGACACAATTCCATGTAGATTTCCATGATTTTACTGAAGCAATTTGTTTTTGTTCATTCATAGACAAATGTATTTATCTACATGAGTATCTGCTTATCATAAATAAACCCAAAGTCCTCCACCCTCCACTGCAGTAGGCTCCAGATCGTGTCCTCGCCCCTCCCGGCAGACGGCCGTCTCCTCTAATGCAGGTCAGTTGGTCTTTTTTTGGCCAGGTCCACGACGCTGTGATCTCTGTTTCCTCTGCAGACCATGTGGGTGCCCTCTTCTGCTGTGCTGCCACTGCTGATAGTGGTGGCAGCTGGGGTGTACTACATCTACAACGAGGTCCTGAGGTTCATGTCCAAGTCCCTGGTGCGAAACAAAGTGGTGGTGATCACAGATGCTGTGTCTGGTTTGGGCTCAGGTAAAGATCCTCTCTGTTGTGTTTATTTAATAACTTTTTTTTCATCTCGAATAATTTGTTTGAATTAATAAATTCACAAGAATGTTTTTTTTCCAACACTTCTTGTTTGTTCAGCATGTGCTCAGCTATTCCACAAGGGCGGAGCCAGACTCATCCTGTGCGGGACAAGTTGGGACAAACTGGAGTCCTTGTTCGAGTCTCTGACCAGTGAATCCGACCCAAAAGAGGTAAATCATTATGTCCATCAATCAAAGAGGAGACATCACAGACTAATGTAGGCCAGGTATGGTCTGAGACCCGTAGGTTGTATACCAGTGGAGGTACAGGTTGTGAACCTAGCTTTATCTTAGCTCTGTGCTCCAGTAGCACAATTCCCTCGATCACCACTTCCTCTAGGGGGCATCACAATAGCAGGACATCCTGTCAGACACCACACTGTCCTCTCTGGGTCTTCTCCACGCTGACAGGAAAACAAACGTAATCAACGGACCAAAGACCTGGAGCCACAAATACTTACAGTCCAGTATAAAAAGAGAACTTGAACTCTGACCTTCGACCTCAACTAGTATTAAAGAAAATCTTGATTGTGTTTTTTAGACGTTTTCCCCCAAACTGGTGCTCCTGGACTTCAGTGACATGGACAGCATGGAGGACGTGGTGGCTGAGGTGTTAGAGTGTTATGGCTGCGTGGACGTGCTGATCTGTAACAGCAGCGTGAAGCTGAAGGCACCGGTGCAGAACATCTCTCTGGAACTGGACAGAAACATCATGGACATCAACTACTTTGGTCCGAGTTCACTGGCCAAAGGTGGGCTGCCGAGGGGATCTTCACCTGCCACAGTTTGACGGTAGCTGTTCTCACACTTCTCATGGTGTTGATGTGACAGGTGTTCTTCCATCAATGATCTCCAGGAGGACTGGCCACATCATCCTGGTGAACAGCATCCAGGGCCGACTGGCTGTTCCCTTCAGAAGTTCATGTGAGTCGTCCAGGAGTGTGTGCGTTTCACTGAAGTCACTGTGGATCAACTTCTCACTGTTCCTTTTCTAAGGTTTCAACAGCACAGACAGTTGACAGTGAACTCCACTGGACGCTAAGGTCTTTGAAAATCAATGTCACTCTCTATCATGTTGCTGTTGACAGTAAAACACATGTCTGGTCGTCTGTCTGTGACGGAAACGACAGCAAATGTTCCTGTGACACAAAGAAACAATTACACAAAGTATTTTTTCCGCAATGTATGGAATTTGGCCAGAGAGTTCACGCCTCTGGTGTGTTTGTACATGATAATGACTGGGCTGTGTGTGTGTGTGTGTGTCAGATGCCGCATCCAAGCATGCAGCCCAGGCCTTCTTCGACTGTCTGCGATCTGAAGTGGAGGAGTACGGCATCATCGTCAGCACCATCAGCCATACCTTCATCAATGCCTCCGAGCCCCCCCCAGTGGAGGAGTCTGAGCCTCAGCAGAACGCTCTGGCTGCCTGTGAGTACGACTCCCCCGCCAACTTGGGTTCCACTCCATGTCTTAAAGGTCACTTATTGTCACTCTTCCTCCACAGACATCAGCAGCCAGTTGACCCACGGCGTAAGTCCGTCAGTCCTGGCCAATGAGATCGTCCAGGCGGTGAACAGGAAGAGGAGGGAGGTGGTGCTGGCCCACCCTATCCCCAGAGTGGCCCTTTACCTCCGCTCCCTGTTTCCTGCCAGTCTCTTTGCGGTGCTGTCTGCAGGAGTGAAGGACTCTGTGTTGGCTGAGATGTAAGAAAAAGAAGAAGAAGAAGAAGAAGAAGAAGAAGAAGAAGAAGAAGAAGAAGAAGAAGAAGAAGAAGAAGAAGAAGAAGAGAATCAGCGAAACATCAAGGAAGTGTGAGATGTTTGGAGATGTTGAAGCTGTGATGGTTACAGATCATCAGGACAGAAGACACAGTCTAGACCCTCTGAACAGCTTGACCTACAGTTCAGGGTGAAAAGACTAAAGATAAGTTCAGTGAATATTAGTGGACAACTACTGTCACAGTGATGTGACGTGAACCACCAAGATGTTTTTATTCAGAGAAAAAACACTAACTTAAGATTTATGTAGAAAAAATAAAATAAAATAATTAAAACTTAACACTGTAGAAAAATGTACTACTTAAGATATTGATAACAATAATAATAACAATAATAATACATTTAAATATTTTAATATAATTGTTTAAATTGTTTTAATTAATAAAACATGTTTGTGGCTAACTCGTACTGATAAAGTGTAAACTATTAGAATATAGCAGTAAGAAATAAAGGTGCAGTTACATTTTGTTACTATTTTACTTTATATTTTATTTTTGGTTTAATTTAACCAAAAAGCATGTCTTTATTTCTTCTAATATTACGGGGGTGAGAGGCGAATTATACAAAGACGTTTTGAATGTTCTCTGTGGATGTGTTTCTCTATTTGTCCGCTAGATGGCAGCAGCTGCATACAGTTACTAGTTCACTGTCGCGCTCACTCAGAACTCCTTGATTAGGTTCCGTTAACTCATGCCAAAGAGTTCTGGTGTTTTGTCTGCTAACAGTAAATTCACTGTTCCGTCAAAGTATTGGTTGTTAAACCTGGTTGTTTCCACTTTCGCTCATTTGTCCTGAGAATCTCTGTGAACTGAACTACATTTAAAACACGAAAGAAGAAATCAAACCGTGAAGGTGATTTTTGTTCATTAGCGCTACAGATGCTGCTGCACATTCTGGCCATTTGGCAACTTTAGTGTTTACACAGATGCAATAAACGGCGTCGACCATTGATTTATGGCTTTCATCACTTTAGGACTGCAGGGCAGCAGCAGCAGCAGCAGCGGCAGCAGCAGCAGCAGCAGCGGCAGCAGCAGCAGCAGCAGCGGCAGCAGCAGCAGCAGCAGCGGCAGCAGCAGCAGCAGCAGCGGCAGCAGCAGCAGCAGCAGAGTCCATCTCTGACTCCATCTCTGACTGTTGTCTTGTAAAATACATTTATAAAAAAGACAAAAACAAAACAAACATACAAAACGCATGGTTTATTCCCTGACTGGAGGCAAACAGACAATAAATTCATCTGACTGTCTCCTCTCCACAGGAGGCGGAACCCAAACATTACTTTCATTGATTTGGCTTTTTATGAGGAACCAGAACCTGAAGCCAGTGAGGGTGAAAAGTCCAAAGTCTGGGGACGAACATTTTGCTCTCTGTCCAGTTTTTTTTATCTATTTTTTTAGTAGTCATTTAGCTAACCTTCAGTGATAGTTTTTCCTACGGCCACATCGTCTGACTAACTAAAATACTTAGTTCTGGTGTAATTCCAACAAATAAAAGGAAAATAATCAAAGAATGTATGACACTTTCTGAATGACTCATGTTCATCTAATAATTGATGACTAGTGTCCATCATGGGATAATAATGTGATATTACACATCTTGGTGTGGCGTTCAAGGACCTGAGCCTCAGACAGACTCAGCTGCCATTATCCACAGACTGTAATACTCCCACAGAGACCGCAGCAGTTTGCCATTATTCCAGCAAAGCAGCGAAGATCACAGGCAGCGGTTCCTACATCGATCCTGGACTCCCCCGGGTCTAGACACAACTTCTTCCCCGTGGCCACGGCCACAGCCTCGGCCCCATCAGCATCGATGAAAATCCCAGATTCATCAAACAGCTAAAGGGCTGGTACACAAGATTATAAAGGGAGGGTCAGTGTGTGGACCCTCATCATGGTTCTCCTGCACCACAGACCATAGGAAACAACAGTTTCATTTCTCAAAGGAACAGGGAAGGTCAAAGTTCAAACAAAAATGAAATATTTCAGCATCAGACTGATTATTTCTACCTGCAGGGCAACTGGGAGGATAAAAAGACTGAGAGGAACCTGAAATGTACAAACAGTGATTTCCTCTAAATGTGTATATTCTGTAGAGGCAAATATAAACCCATGACTGGGAATATTTTCCAATAAGGAAGTACTTAGACCCCGCGTCCTCCGACCCTCACCCCAGAAAGTGCAGTAAAACCTGTTGTCATTACTTCAACGTATTAAGAGTTTGGTGACTGAGAGTACAGGCAGTGCCTTCTCACAACACACTTCACACAGCAGAACAAAAGTCCTCTTAACCAGAAACCAGATCCCTCCTCCTTCTCCTACTCCTCTTTCTGCCGTTGGTTGTCTTTATGTCCAACTTTTCAGCTTTTCCTTCTAACTAACTAATATTTTTGAGACATTCAAAGCTGTACTCTGGGCTAATTTAAACTAATTTAAATAAGTCATTATTTTAAATCAATTTTGTAGCCCATTCATACTATTCATATATGTGGCGCCACCTCTGGTCAGAGCGGTGACTGATGGTGTGGTCAGTCATGGTCTGTCTGTTGACAGGCTCCTGTCATTATTGTTTCTCCTGTCATTATTATGTGGAGCTGTGTTTACTGTGTGACTGGGATTAAAGAGAATCCACAGAGTGTGACTGAGCACCACACATGGACATCCGAGAGTGTGTGTGTGTGTGTGTGTGTGTGTGTGTGTATGCACCAAGTGTGTCTCCTCGTTAAGCACAGCCTCTGGTTTATTCCAGTCTGATCCTGAGACTCATGGTCCTCCAGAGGAGCTGAGAGGCCTCTTCATGTTTTTAAAGAATCAAAGAGATTCAGCTGAGACCTTGTTGAAAAGCTCCTGCTGCTCCTCACTGGGTCAGAAGGTTGTGGTCTGAGGAGAAGAAGGCGCTGAGCTGAGGTCAAGACGTCCAGAGGTGAGGAGGTTGATCCTGAGATCCTTTTGTTTCATTAGCACACACACACACACACACACACACACACAGACTGTAGTTACTGACACCATCCTGATTATCAGTCCATGACGGTCCTGAGAACAGCCCAGGAGCCACAGCTTGTAAACCACCTGTCTAATAATTGCTCCTTTGCTGCTTTTTTCTTTTTATTCTTCAGTGACTAAAATGAATTCTGACTCTGATCCTGGTTCAGGGAACTCACATCCCATAATGTTACGTGAATGACTTCCTCCTAGTTCATCACATATATTTACATTACATATGACCTTTGCCCTTTCAGTTGCATTATAGAAAACACACCAACCTTTGCTGAGGTAGAGTTTATAAAAAAATGATAAGATTTACAGTCAGTCTTCTAAAACTACAAAGTTTGATTTTTTTTTTGTGACGCTGTCAAATTTTGGGTGATGTCACCCCGTCTGTGAAACGGCAGCAGACCCTGATGACCTCGCTCTAATTGCACAGTGTCAATATTGTTGCATTTGGACGCCCTCAGCTCTCATATAATATGCAGAGAGAGGAAGGTCTCCTCAGAACTGGATACGTCTCTGATAAACAGACCTCAGATCAGGTTCCTCTCTGTTTCACTCTGGATCATTTGTCCTGACTTCTCTGAACAGGAAGGTGTCAAATGTGATTTCTGTCACTGCAGTTCTTTATTTTTTCCTGCTGTGGACATGCAGCTTATTCTTCTTTTTTATATATATTTTTTAACGAACCTCCCCCTCCCCCAGGTCCTTTGTCTGTGGACCACAGAGTGTTGATGTGGGACTTGAGGACAAGAGTGATTTAGAGCCGCGGCAGTAAAAGTCCAACACCTCAGGACACTGACTGACATCGAACACTGACCCACGCTCGATGCATCGACCCACAATAAGAGACGATCAATACGACCAGAAGAACTTTATGAACGTCGATGTAGACGCAGACACACTCAGAGGAAGACGTGTTACGGACATGAAGACAGAGATGGAGACGTCAATGTCTCACTCGTCTCTAGATTGAAGAATGTTTACGGTGAAGAAAACACGTCATCCTCAGCAAAAAAATTCTTAATCCTCCCGACAAACCGTAAAGTCCTGGGATTAAACAATTCCCAGTCGTTCATTTGTCTGAGTGACAGTGAAAAACCACTGATCCTGCTGGAACAACATGACTTGAGAGATAAGGGTTTCAGAGGTGAAGCAGTGCATTCTGGGATTAATGGGAGATTAAGTCAAAGTAACGTGGAAGAGTGAAGGGATTAGAAAGACGTTCTTAATTTAATAGAACCATCCCTGGTTCTTTAAGATGACGTGTGATGCTGAGATGAGGCCTTGACAAGAAAAGAGTTTCATCCTGGTGGAAGTGCTTGGTATTACAGCTCTGATGACAAATTTTCTGCTGCTGTACAAACACTGTCAATAAACTTAAAAAGTTTTTGGTGTTATTTTGACCTACTGTTAATGGTGGTGTACAGCTGGACAAAGCAGAGGGGCTCTGTGCTGCAGGGAGCCTGTGAGCTGTATTACAAGTTTGTGGTTCTCAGTTACTGCGCTTTATAACAATTAACAATAATTCTGATTATTGCTTGTATTTGTCAGTGACAGTGGTACACTGATGGTGCAGTAAATTGGTGTTATTCTTTTTACAGTGTACTGTGGTACAAGATACAGTCGATTATCAGTCGTAAATAAATAAATAAATGCACTTTGATATCAATTATTTGTAATGACTGTATTCAGTGTACAGAGTATTTACATTGAGTCTCTTGGAAAACAAACATCCAGGGAAAATGCATCATGGAAAATTGGAAACACTTCACTCAGGCATTACTGCAACAACATCCGCTACTGTATATATGAGAGTGAGAGCCAGCTCTCTCCCTCTCTCTCCCCCTCTTTCCCCCTCTTTGTGAGGTGAGAGCTCAGGAAATCATTATCTCGGCCTCTACATCACCTCCATAAGTCACGTTAGCGTCAATAACCCCGGCTTTAAAAATTGATAAAGGTGATCAGCCGCTCATGGAAAGACCATTACTGAGCAAGGGGATTCTCATCTCGCTCCTGCTGCTGTGGTCACCTCTGGACACACTTCCTGCTCCGCCAATGCACCAGTAAACTCTCCAACAGGGGGCGCTGTACATGAACGAGAAGGCTCATTAACTTCATGTGATCAGATTTTATTTTTCATCTACGGGCAATTCTTCACTGACGAAAAACAAACCTGATTGGACAGCGACGTGTATGTAAATGTGTGTAGATCAAAGAGCCAATTTGGAGAGTCCAGCTGAGGAAAAACAAAAAAAACAACTTCCTGTTTGACACCGTAGGCGACGCAGAGACGGATTTATTCATGTGAACAAATTAGAGCGAGGTTTCTGTCCCCGGGGTGGACGAGACAACCTACTCCCCAGAGGAGAGTGACCTGGAGGACAGACACACGCATACCAGCTGGACTGGACACACACACACACACACACACACACACACACACACACACACTGGTGCCATGTGTATTGACTGAACCTCCAGCTGTTACAGACATGACTCTTTCACGACTGAACTTGTTTTACACCAAACATATAAAATCAGTGCTTCTTAAACTTTTTCTGCAGCGCCCCCTTCTGTAAATAGCCACACAAATCTCCACTGAACTCCATTTAAAACAAAATCCAAACTGCTATCCTAACCAGGTTAAAGGCATAAAATTATAAATCCATACATTTTTTTTATTGTGGTAAAAGTAAAGAAAATAATTTAATTTCAATTAAGTTTTATTGTTGAAACCCCTGCAATAATTTCATACCCCCTGGAGGGGGCCCACACTCGAGTTTAGTAACCACTGTACAAGATTATTACAAATACATACTGTAGATATAAATAATCTACAGCAGTATTTTCAAAATCCTTTCTGCAGCGCCCCCATGTGTACAGGACACATTTACAGCTTTTGCTCCAAAATTCACTGAACTCGTGCTGATGAATAACTGTCACCACTAAGTTCTGCAGGTCTACTGGTTTCCTATGTGACACAGACTACCTCCCCCTGCTGGCAGGGTAAAGACTTTCTCTTGCCAAAGACAGGATTTAATTGGTAAATTAGTGCAACTTTTTACAATTGATGAAGCAGAGTGTTACCATCATCCAGAGCACTATTTACCAGGCACGAGGAAGAGGAGTAACAGGGTCAGATTAGAGTAAACAGAGATTAAAACCTGCTGTCCTCATTTCCACACACATTTCACATCTGCTGGCATTGTCTCACATTATCATTGTTCACAGAGAGAGAGAGAGAGAGAGAGTTGATGGTGGATTACACCTCCCCCCTCCCCCCCTCCCCCACTGAGTAGAGTACACCGCCACGTATCTCCATGTTATCCCAGATAAATCTGTTGTCCTGGGATGGAACAGTGGAGATCGGTGCTCAGGGATTACAGACAAACACACAAAGAGAAACAGAGAAAAGTAATAAAGGACTTAATCTCCTCCAGATCCAGGTTCCCTCATCTCAGGAACCCAACTCATTCGATCCTTCTTAGAGTCCGAGACCCTGACTCTGCGGACTGGATCTGTTTGAGGTCACTTCTACCACAAAGGATTGTGGGTACTACAGCAACAGGAGCCAACGTTTATGTAACCTGTGCGTTCAAATGTGTACCTTATGTAGTTTGAGGCAATATTTGTACTGCGTCCAATGTAAATATCCATTTTCATATCAAGTATTATAAAGTATTTCAAAAGTCCTTCCAGAGGATGAGTTCTTATCCTGGAACCCTGGTCCCATTTGATCCCTGTTCCATTTCAACAGTACCTTCAATGGGAAACACTTCAACAGATACTTGTGTTTTTTTTTCTCTGGGCTACAGACAATAAATGGACCAGATTAGATTATATTAGATCAGACCAGAGTGGATTCTTCATGCTTATAACAACAAGTATCCACTGTATAATCAGTGTGTTAGAACTACACAGAACTACAGTTCTCCCCACAGTGACCCGAGGATCATTGTCAAGTTCCAGGTCTGTTTAATCAGAGTCTTTCATACGAACAACAGAGATTATGTTTTTATTCCTCCATAAAACCAGATTATCTCTCTAATCTCACTCATCTATGACAACATGCCTGGATGGCTCACAGGTATTCTCCCCTTGCTTAACCCTCCCCTACCCCCCACCCCACCCCCCATCATACAGGACCCTGCAGTGAGACTCAGTGATCTGTGTTCACAGCTGGAGCACTTTAATTCAACACGGCTCTCCAGGTTTGGATCTCTGTAAACATTCAGGAGTGAGGTCTCTCTCTCTCTCTCTCTCTCTCTCTCTCGTTACATCACCTCCTCACTTCCTGTTATTATTCTTCAGTACTTTAAAAGAAATGACTCTGGGTTTGACCCACCTTAAAAAAACAACCCCATAATCATCACCAGATCAGACCAGTCTGTGCTGCTGGACCAACTGCACCTGTTGTCAGTGATTCCAGGAACCTCAGCTCTGATAATCTTACTCAGAGGTGCGTCTCAGCTGATGAGCTGAGCTCTGCTGCACCGTAGTGGTGGAGGCAGGGACAGAAGGGCAATTAGGGCAGATTAGGGTGGTTTAAGAAAGCTGGTTAAAGTCCCTCATCTGTGGACAGACAGACGGACCATAAGTTGGACAACTTCACAATAACCTGACGTTGTGCAAATGTCATGCTGGGGTCAGAGGTCATGGGCTCATTTAAATCAAACCCATACGCTGGCTGTCCTTTTCCATGCAATTATGAGGACTCGTTATGGTCCAGCTCCTTATGTTGGTGTCAAAACTTACCAACCACTGCCTCATGCCTGTGTCACTAGATTTATGATCTCAAAGTAACATGTTAGCTCTGCTAACGAGGCAAAAAGTTACCATGAGGTTTAAAACCACTTTCAGACCGAGGTTCTGGGCTTGTTCTAAAACACAGGAACCCGGAATGTTTTTATTCCAGAGTTCTAGAGCTGCTGTCTAGGACTGACAGTAGGGGTCTCTTCTTTGATTAAGGGGGTTTTCCAAGTCTAAGAGGACTCAACGTGTAGCACTTTTCAAAAACTCTTAGTGCTAGACCAGGGTTCCAAAATGTCTCAGCAGAGACAGAGACTCTTCTGACTAAAGGTCTGAACCGTTCTGAGACTGAGGGACTTCAGGGTGGGCAATTAGTATCGTTTAATATTTAAGAACGTTTTAGTATCAGGAATTATCATATGGACTTCAGTCAATCAAACTGTACACACACACACACACACACACACACACACACACACAGCAATACTGTAAGCATAAGTAGGAGCTTATTCCCTGAGTGCTGAAATCTGGAGAGAATAAGTAAGCTTATTCCCTGAGTGCTGAAATCTGGCACCAACGTCTTACTTCTTACTCTCTCTCACACACACACACACACATTCACACAGTTGGCCAGTGTGTGGATGAGTGACAGGTGGACAAGGTGTAGACAGAGCAGAAGGTGGTGGCCTCTGATCTGGGTGTGGCTCTGGACTTAGTGACCCTGGCCAACTCCAGGAACTGATCCAGGAACTGATCCAGGAACTGATCCAGGAACTGATCCAGGAAGTGTGCAGAGTTATCAGGCCATATCTGTGCCCACAGCAAACTCATGTAATTCTGTTAATTTGGCTGAAGTGATCATGTGACACCACACCCACCTCTTCTTCGTGGCCTGTGGCGCTGACAGCAGTGACCAGTGGGTCCTTATGTGTCAGATTGATGGTGAGGTCACCGGTCAGCCATCCTGGTTCATTAGTTTGTGTCTCTGATTGGCTCGCAGGTTCGGAGCTCGCCCGCTGAGTGACTTATGGCTGTAATTTAGCCTTGATTACACACGCCATTACTTTAACTCTAATTAGACTGTCACTCAGAGCGGGGGTGGGGGGGGGGGCAGACATCCAGGACAGGAGCTCTGGTGACCAACACCAGCACCATTGAAGAAGATTACGCCACATCCCCACGGAGTCTCCTGGAAACTGCTGTCGTAAAATAAAGAAAATGGACGTGAATCTGCCAACAAATCAAGCGCAGACAGAGGAGATCAAAATATTCACGTCTCCAACTGCTCTCTTTCGTACATTGTGATGCAGAAGTGCATTAATCAGCGTGCGTTGGCGCCCGTGTTGGATAATGAATCACAGCCCCAGCCCTGGCCCTGACCCCTGAGGTCAGGCTTTTATGAACGACCACTTCATCACGGAACAATCTGCCGAGCGAGTGCAGACAAAAGACGCGCAACCTCATCTGGTGACCTTGTCTGCTGATGCGTGGAGGGAGGTCGGAGGAGCGAATAAACAGAAAATCAACAGAAGAAAGAAAGATGGAGATGTTGAGGTGACGGCGTTTTGTCTCAGCCACGGTGGTCCTGGTCACGTTCAGTGGTCCTTGCCGAGGAACCAGGACCATTAATGGTTTTACTTCAGGCTCGGTTGAACAATTGTAACACTGCCTCCAGTGGTTGGTGTTAGACATTAACAGAATGGATACTTGTCTTGACAGCGTAACGCCAAGAGCGTAACGATGACAGCATAACAACTTCCTCAGATCAATGAAATAAAATTAGTTTCAAAGATGAATTCTCGCCAACCAATTCTGGTTCAAACTATAAAAAATCCAGCACTGAACAAACAAACAACTGGAGAAGGTTTGAAGGTGTTTTCTCTTTCACACTTATTTTTTAATTTGTTACAATTAATCAAAATAAAAGTCACTGCTGAGTTGAGGGAACACAAGATTTTGCCACAAACTTTGACCTTGTGAATAGACCGATAATGTCCAACTCCTGTGAGGAGCTCCCACTGTGGCCCTATAACAACACCAGGGTGTGTTTTCTATCAGATTAAGTCGTATATACTGGTCCATGAATGGAGAAGGAGGCGTGGCAGTCAGACATCATAAACTTTAATCTGCTCCCAGTAAAATAAACGTCAGGTTTTCTTCTTCTGCCGCTGCAGGACAATGCAGTGGTTTTATGGTCGAGGTCACATCTGCCACAGGATAATGACAGAGGTAAGCCAAATGGATCATGAAGTGTGTGTGTGTGTGTGTGTGTGTGTCAGAGAGGGGGGTTGGACTAATGAGTCTCCTATGAGCTATTATCCCTACCTTAGCTGTGCAGTATGCAATAACAACAAAAGACAACATTGTGAAGCTCCCTAACCAGAGAAGAACAACACAGAAGAACCCAGAAGAACCCAGAAGAACATAGAAGAACTCACTGAGCTGTGGTTCCGGTGATGAAGCTCCCACTGATCTGTGAACGTCTCTGTGGGTCGAGCAGAGAAAACAGACTGACTGTTAGTTTAGAGATGAAAAAAAACAAAAACATTTTTGACATTTGAAATCAGCAGTGGTCCTTTTATATAAAGGTGACAGAATAATGTTCACCTGAAGGTTCAAAGGTCATGGGTGTAAGTATTCTAAACAAACATTTTCAGTTTTGCTAATCCATAGGTTCTAATCCCTCTAATGGTCAAAAGAAAAGGAAGACAACACTGAGGGAGTGTCACTCTGATGTTAGCAAACAAGCTAATCACTACCATCACCTCCTCCTCCATCACCATGTTATTGTCAAAGAAACTGACGTTGGCCCCACAATGAAAGCTGAACTTAACAATGCCCCCTAGTGAATGTTTTGCTGAACAGCCATTCCAAACATAAGGCACGCATCGGAGCATGTGGGCAGCTAGCACATTTGGACAGTTGGTGTTGCGGTAGGTCGTACTTGGACTCTGTGAGTGTTGTTTCACTGACTGTGTTCTCAGACTAGTTCAGTTCTGGAGACTTTGTGACCGGATTCCCAGACTGTCTTCTGAGGTTAAGACTATTAGCTGTCACAGCCTGTCGTCTAATTCTCCCCTCATCTCCTTTGTCAATCAGGTGATGGTGTTAGAGCAGATTATCAACACCAGATCATGGACAGAACTTGATGGCAGAGTTATCATGAATCCTACATTTATGTACATGTATATATATATATATACACCATGAATCCTACATTTATGTATATGTATATATATATATATACAGTATATATATATATAAAATAGACAAAGTCTGAATTCACATTAAGAACAATTCAAGATAATACTTAAAATGAAAATGGATGAAAAAGGAACGATGGAATTCATTGATTTAAATCCACATAAATAATGTGAGCTGCAAGGTTTGTGCTCAGTGGGTCTGGATCCATCTCATCTCATATGACAGAGTGATGAGAGAGAGAGGAAGAGAGAGAGAGAGAGAGGGGTTGGTGAGTATAATAATAATAATAATAATAATAATAATAAAATAACAATAATGATAATAATAATCAGCTCCACCACAGCTTCTTCTTTTTCTTCACGGTTGGAGACTAAGTGAACACACATCCTGGATGTCACGCACAGACCTACTGCAGTGATTTATTCCACTCTCCTGTGATTGGCTGTTGTTTTGGGGAGAACGCCGTGCGCTCAGAGCGCAGCAGCAGCGGAGCGCGCACTGGCACCAAGTCCTGGAGCATGTCGGGATGTGAGCCGAACCAGGGCTGGTAGAATGGCACCAGATCCCGCATGGGTCATTGAGGGATGGCAGCCTTTCACCACCACCACCAGCAGCAGCACCACCAGCTTCAGCAACAGCAATACAAACAGCAGAGCGCGGAGCTGCGGCGGCTCCTCCAGCGGCTCACCGTCGCCTCCTCCCTGAGTCTCCTCTGCTTCTCCCTGGTCTACATCCTCACCGGCTGCTGCCAGTCAGACCTCCAGGTGGAAAACTCCCAGACCGGGGCGCAGGTGCGGGACTTTGTGGCGTACGAGAGGAACTGGACCGGTCTGGTCCCGCTCCAGCCTGTTCCACAGCAGCCCGGACCCGAGGAGACGAACAGTTCTGGGAGAGAATGGACCGCAGCCCGCAGGTTACCGCAGGCGCTGATCATCGGGGTGAAGAAAGGAGGCACCCGGGCTCTGCTGGAGTTCCTGCGGCTCCACCCTGACATCCGAGCCCTGGGTTCGGAGCCGCACTTCTTCGACAGGCATTACGCACGAGGGCTGGACTGGTACAGGTACGGATACACGCTTACGCAGGAACCCAGTAAGTTACTGTAGCTCTGGGGTCTGAACCACAGGGCAACTTTACCGACCACCGTTTACCCTGTGTGGCTCTAAGATTAAAGTTAGGGTAGGCGACTTTTTTAATTTATTCTTTTTATTTCCAGACTTACAGTTCTCTCAAAAAGAACTCTCAAAAAGTAATACAAATACTGAATTTAAAAATAATTTACCACTCCCGGGGCAATATGGTTTTAGCTAGAACCATCATTGCCCTCAGTGTCCAGAGCAACAATCAGAACATTAGAACAGGAACCATCAGAGTCCTGTGGTGATCAGAACATTCAAGTCCACAGACTTTGGTTCTGTTAGCTCCACTCCTCAGACCTGGTCTGCTCTTTCCTGCTCTGGTTCATTTTTTTTCCACTTTTACGTCAAACTCCTAGTCTTTGTGACATTTTTAAGGACTTTTCAACTTTAACACTTTTCAGATACAGTCTTAGATTTGTTTGAAAACATGTCGCCCCCTATTGTCCTACTGTCCTGGTCCATTAGGTAAACGCCCTGGTTCAACATTGTTGTTTTTGTTGATACAAATACACAGCAAGACAGGAGGCCAACCTGGGTACTTTATACCACAACACCAGTAGGGGGTGCTGACACTCGTTACTGCCCTGAAAAACCCCACCAAATCCTTTTCACCTAGTCTTAAAAAGTTTTTTTCTCCTTTTTTGTGCAAAAGTCATTTTAATTGAAAAATACAAAAGCTTCCTGTGTAACGCAACGTCCAACTTCCTGTCAGGACCTGAATTCATTTGCACTGTTTGCATTTCCAAACACTTCCACTGTAGTTCTGCTGAGGGTGAGGTGACAGTCAGAGAGACGGTACCATCTGGACACAACAATCTGTGCGTGTGTGTGTGTGTGAGAGAGAGAGAGAGAGACGAGAGAGAGAGAAAGTGTGAGGTACAGAGATACAGCCAGGGGGTGGGGGTGGGGGGCTGGTAGAGTGAGTTCTGACAGAGAACAGAATATTCTGTGCTGGAGCAGCAGCCAGATGTTACTGCTGTGATGCTGCTCTGTTATCAGCTTGTTAGGTCTGAAAATGAAAACGAATGAATGAAAAAATACACGTTTGTGTGTGGTGGAGCCTGGAGAGCCGTTAACTGTTCAGTCTTCACACTCACATTCACTCCTGTGGTCAGAACCAACAACCTGACCCATGGTATCTTGACATACAGTACAAACATATACACCACTACCCATGGTGCCATCTGCTGGACAGGGAAATGCTGTAAATGTGCAATGACAAGCAATGCTTGGTTTAAATGTAGACGGTAGAATCCATTTTCCCCAATGACCATAAAGGCATCACTGTTAGCCAATTCAGACAGAGCAGAGCATGACGCGCCTTAAAGTCCAGACTTTTCCCAGGACGGTGAAGGCAACACTTTCTTCAGTCCTTCTTCAGCACTCGGTGTGAACGCGTTAGCTCACAAAACACATGAACTGCTCCTCGAATGCGTCCATTGACGTCCACTGTCTGGTCAGCTGTCTGTGGACAGAGCTCAGAGAACTCCTGTGGAAACAAACCCACAGACCGTCAGTGGTGCTGGCTGCCGTCTCTGTGTCGCAGTCATGTGACAGCCCAGTGACATCAGATTGTAATGTGTCACTGCCGCCCCTGCGGGGGCCAGATGGGATGCACATCCAGCCACTTGACATCACTGTCAGCTCTGTCAATTGACCTCTGACCCCAGGTCAGTTTAGGCTGGGAGTTAATGATGTGTTCAGGGCACTTCATAACAAACACACACACAAAGGAAGTGTGTCTTTGTTACGGTGGAGCAGCAAAAGAATACTTTCAGAATATAAGGGTAGAGAAAATAATGACAAATATTATTATTTATAATATATTTGAATATTAAGATACAAGAAATCTATTTTTATTACAGGGGTAGTACTTGTGAGTACTGTATTTAGCTAACTTTTATCTATACTTGTGGTGACATTTAGCCACTCTCTGACCAATCTTTAGCTCCTCATGCTAATCGTGTTGCTATTCTATTTTCATGCTAACTCTTAGCTGTTATTAATTTGTCTGGGTGTCTCTAAGCATTTTTTGAAAGTTTTTGTTGTTTCTTGACATTAACATGTCATTACATCATTTTTTTTTTACATATGTTCCAATTTTTTTTGGCTAACTTTTACCCAGCATGTCTTGAGGGTTCTGTTTTAAGAAGTACATTTGTACTGGGGTAATGAAAATTACGATTACAAATAAAAATATTTTTTCCTGCTAGCGATCTCTGAGGACTTCTGTAGACTTTCATGTCTTACAGGAGTGCTGCTGCTTCTTCTTCTTCTTCTCCTTTTTTTTTAACCACTTGCTGTCAAATCATCACAGACCATCATAAAGAATGATAGTTGCAGTTTCCCCCCCAGAATCACTCTGTCTCCCACAGAGTAAAATAACATTTAGTATCACAGGGGCAGATTGAGATCAGAGCCCTGACAGAAGGATCCACTAATGGCGTATGTAGCGGAGATTGGATCTGCGATGGGCCCCTGGACGGACTGGAAGTTTCCTCCTGACTCTGTTGCCTGGGATCGATAGCTCCATCTCCTGGCCCTGACCTTGGGTTGACTCCAGCATTAGAGCGGTTAGTGTTGGTCAGCACGGCTTCGGTTACAATTACCCAGAAGCTTTATCCTACATTGGCATATCTTCCCCCCACGCCCCCCCTCCGCACGGACTCACAGGGTTTATGTTACACTGGGTTTTTTTCTTCTTCTTCTCTGGCGGTGCTGCTCTGGAGGAATCCATTAAAATTACTCAGCTAGAACTTCAGACATCAGGCTGATGGTTTCCTCACTGAAGGATGACACCACAGTCAGAGGGTGAAAAATAAAAGGGGTGAGGAGATAGGACAAAGGGTGAGGGTGAGGTTAAGGGGGTGAAGTCAGTGTTACCACAGCCTCACACATCTTCTACTGACCTTTGATTCAACCCTGGGGACCGTCACCAGAGCCGGCCTCAGGAGTGTGTGTCTGTGTGTCAGTGTGTGTGTGTGTGTGTGTGTGTGTGGATTGCTGACTTCTTCAGATCCTGGTCCCAGTCTGGAGGCCGTCCTGTCTTCCAGGCGCCGACGCCACTTGTGTTTTGCTCTTTGAGTAACATTGAGAATCATGGATATTTACAGTATTATTGACTGTGATTTACCGGCACAGCTTTGACCTGAGAGGGTTGGAATGTCGCCTCCTGCTTCCCAGAAGTCTTAATTTATTAAAGAACATTTGGATATTTACAGATGATACGGGCCGGGAATGCTGGGGAAATTGCTGATTTTTTGAAATTCATATTAATGCCATTAGAGGTGGGGTCATTGAACCGACAACCTGATGTCCTGCTGCCACGTGTGTTTCTACAAAAGGAAATAATTACCATGAAAATCACAGAAGAAAAGCTGTAATGTTCGGCTGGATTCAGTGGGAGGGAATAAACGGGGGACAAACGGGAAAAGGCGGATTTTCCTGATGAGTCAGATTGGTTAATCTGTGACATCAGAGGAAGTGGGATTAGGATTATCTGGACTATTATTCTGTGTTTACATGAGAGCAGCGTTAGAGCAGCTGTAAGAAGAGGCCAGGTTTGGGAGTTTTTAGGTTTAGTTTTCCAGGGTTCAGGTGTCGTCCATCTATCCGTCCTGTCCCTTGACTGAGCAGGGCGGTGTCCCCACAAGTCCCAGATGGGTTGGTGGGCGGGGGGTATGATCTGGCTCTCATTAAAGGCCTCCCCTGGGGCATGAGAGAGTAAAGGAGGTGGAGGGGTTTCTGGTCAGGGACCCCTTTATGATGGATGTCTCCTGAAACTGGACAGAGCGCAGTGACAATGGGCCGACACCCCCCCCCCTACACACACACACACACACTCCCTAATAACACGCTCAAGCATGCGTTTGGACACTTAAACCTCATATTGGACTCATGAATAAACACTCAGGTGGTGTGTGTGTGTGTGTGTGTGTGTGTGCCATGAACAATTGGTCCCTAAGATCAGAAATCAAAGAAAACCAGAGCCTGATCAAACACACACATACACACACACACA